TGGTGTTTCTGTAAAATAGAATATTTTCTCTCAAAAACTTGAGTGTTTGAAAGATTAATATTAATTAGACTCCCTAAAATCATACTCAATACATTTTGGTTTTTCTTCTAATTATCCTCACTTAGTTTATTAAAATGATAATCACATAATTGATCTTACTTCCACTAAGGGAAGCACTTCTGATTGTTACAGTGTGCTATTAAATAATTATGAAAATGAAGTGGAGGCTGAGTGAAGAGGTTATCATAACTTTTGACAGAAATATTTGTACATAGTTTTCATTTACCTGCCTTCGATAAATAAAATAAAGCAAAAATTTAAAAATCTTTGACAGCCAAGGTTTTTCTAGAATTACCATCATTTTTCAAGAATAGAGGGCTATTCAGATTGGTCTAATTATTTATCTCGATCAATTTCAGTATCACAAAAGTCAAGCTCTGAGAACTTTCTGAATTTCAAACTGTTGCCTGTCCAATTCAGAACATGAATTATATGATTTGGCTGTGTCCCCACTCAAATTTTATCTGAATTGTGGCTCCCATAATTCCCTAGTGTTGTGAAAGGGACCGAGTAGGAGATAGTTGAACCATGTGGATGGTTTCCCTCATACTGTTCTCATGGTAGCGAATAAGTCTCAAGAGATCTCATGATTTTATAAGGGGAAATCCCTTTTGTGTGGCTCTCATTCTTGTCTGCCACCATGTGAGACAAGCCTCTCACCTTCCCCTGTGATTGTGAGGTCTCCTCAGCCATGTGGAACTGTGAGCCCATTAAACTTCTTTCTTTTGTAAATTTCCCAGTCTCAGGTATGTCTGTATGAGCAGTGTGAAAATGAACTAATACAATGAACTTCCCTGTAACTTAGCAAACAGCCAACTCCATCTGCCATGGCTCTGCTGGCCCTGACCTGGGCTGATGGCCTGGGGACGGTCACTGTTTCACGCCCATCCTGTACTACCAATCTCTCTTAGATTTTTCTCATTCAAGACCTTTGAACTAAATGACATGTTTTCTAGGCAACAGGTGGCAGTAATTGGAATAGAAAGATCATCACATTGATCTGGTGACCACATTGAATCCTGAGGAAAATCAGTAAATAACAGCAATGAGCAAAGAGAATTAAAGATTTACAGAGAAGCCAAGAAGAGACGATCCATGCAGCTCCAGAAAGAGAAAAGAATGAGTCTCTTGATTGCTTCCTGGCTCCCTAATGTTAGACCCAGCCTCACTTCTTGTCTTGATTGCTGTATCTTTTTAATCAACCACCATATTTATTGAGTTGCATCAAGGAAAAAAAATTCTTAATTCGATGGTTCCTACCTGGAAAAAGGGAAGCAATTTCCATTCAAGTAGGGGCTGTTAGAAATACAGAAAAGGAGGAAAACTGAGGGTACTTTCGCACTCTTCATTGCCAGGCATAGGTAGCAGTCCAACATACCTGTCTGCTGCAGACTTGTCCTGGCCATTACAAGCCTGATTGTTCAAAGGAAGCAGAGTGTTAAGGATGCTGCCCATTGTTTTCAACATTAACAAAGAGTTTAACTGTTATGTGATGAGGTCCTTGTGAGGCAAATTGAAAACTGGGGGAAATAAACTTGAGACGAATAGTCAACAGGGTGAGTTTGTGCAGCTTGTTTTCTGAAATTAAGGGCTGAGTTCTGTGAAAAATAAAAGTCACCTGCGAATAAGTCTTATATCTTATTCAACTTTAAATATTAGTGACTTTAGCACACTTTGCTTTACTGCTGTTTACAGATATCTTATCTACTTCATAGACAAGGAAAATGTATTAAGACTTATGCATTTGTTTTTAAGAGATGGGGTCTACGTTGCCCAGCTAGAATGCAGTAGCGATTCATAGCACTCACAGGTAGAATAATCACTCACTACAAACTTCAACTCCTGGGCTCGAGCGATCCTCTTGTTTCAGCCTCCCAAGTAGCTGAGATTACAGGTACAGAAAACTGCACCCACCTGACTTATACAATCTTTATGAATTTTGTCGGACTTTTTTTTTTTCTAGAAACAAGAATTGAGTTGATATTTTCAGTATCTTTTGCAAACAGTGAATGAGGAGACATTAGCTGCAGGACTACACAGTATCCACTATATAAACATTGATGAGCAAGTTCCATTTAAGATTCCCCACTTTGCTTTCTGTGAACAAATAGCTATTCTTCTCTTTTAAAAAGAACAGAATCTTTTAATGCTGTTTATTATTTACTTCTTATTTATAGTTAATAACATTTTACACACACAGTACAGTGTATCTTCTTTTAAGATTTCTGTAATGTATTTCTCCCCCTATTTAACATGTTGTTTAATATTTAGGCCACTGCCTCTCATTTTAGAAGTAACTGGCAAGCAAATTATAAGTCATAAACAAATTATTAAGTGGCATAAAGGCAAAATATTATACTAATTTGATTCATATAAAATACTTGGTTTAAACTCTAGCACATAAGTTCATAAAAAATTAAATAATTGTGATGGTTTTTTTATAAAATTGAAAAAAATAAATACGTCTATATTGTCATTATGGGTTCCACATATCCCCAAATACTTTTAACCTGAAATTTTAAATTTTGTTACGCATTTCATTTCAATGTTAGAATGAATAAATGCAAAACCATCAAACATATTAACTAAGCAAAGTCTATAGTCTGAATTCTTTATGAGAGTTCAGTGTGAATACACACTACACTCTGGCCTGGGCAACATAAAAAGACTTTATTCCTATTAATAAATAAAATTTATAAAATAAATATTGAAAGTTACATACTTTCAAGTACTTTTGCTTAATTTTTAAACACTCATTGTTTTCAAAGTATTTTCCAAATAGACTGTGAATAAAACATGTTTAAATTGACGTGAAATATCACTAAGACATAAGCCAAAAACTAAATCATTAGCCATAAATTTATAAAATTATTTGCTTTTCTAAACTCCCATTATATTTCTAAACATTACTTTCATTTTCATGAGTCACTAGCTTTCATAAGGAGTGATTTTTACATGAAATCTGTAAACCATGGCATTTCTTCATTATTAACATAAACAGGTCCATTAAATTTATTATAAATGGTTAGTGTATTGATTAATATTTTAATTTTATCAAGATTTTTGATGTGGATCTAAAAACATTTATGAAAAATGTAATGTACACTCATACATCACTTGATGAAGGGTATATATTTGGAGAAATCCATGATTAGACAATTGTGTCTTTGTACTAACAGCATAGAATGTACAAACTTAGGTGGTACAGCCTACTATATCTAGGCTATAAACCTTTACAACATGTTACTGTATTTCAATACTGTAGGTAATTGTAACGCAATGATATGTATTTGTAGATCTAAACATAGAAAAGGTACAGTAAAAATACAGTAATATAATCTGAGGGGCCCAACATCATATGTACAGTCTGTGATTAACTGAAACATCATTCATTATGCGGTGAATAACTGCATTAGTTTAGGTACCTCAGAATAAGTCTTTAAGCAATTATAACTTTATAACCATAAAAAGTTTACATTAACAATCAATAAGGCTACTGATAAAATTGCTATGTGGTTGTGATATTGTGAAATATATATTTGGTCTTCATCCCATTCCTGACATACAGCTCCTAAGATCCTTATAATCTCCAAGGTCATAAGGGTCTTTTTGTATGCTCATGAGTTGACTGATGGCTGGGGACTCCTGGATAGCCAGGTCATAGGAGATTGGTCATAGGAAAGACCACGACACCTTTAGGCATTTCATCCCAGCCCCTCCAACCTCCAGGGAGGGGAGAGAGGCTGAAAGTCAAGTCAATCACCAGTGGGCAGTGCTTCAATCCATCATGCCTATGTAATGAAGTCACCATAAAGGTCCAAGGACAAAGTTCAGATGAGCTTTCAGATAGCTGAATACACAGAGGTTCCTGGAGGAGCCCAGAGAGGGCATGGAAGTTCTGCACCCCTTCCCACATGCTTTGCCCTACTTACTTGTGCTCTTTGTAACATCCTTCATAATAAAGCAGTAAGTATGTTTCACTGTGTTCTGTGAGCCGGTCTAGCAAATTAATCAAATCTGAGAGGAAGAGATTGTGGGAACTCCAATTTGTAGCCGGCCAGTCAGAAGCACAGGTAAAACAATCGACGGCATTTGGCTGCCATCTGAAGTGGGGACGTCTGAGGAACTGAGGAACAGAGCCCTCAACCTGAGGATCTGATGCTACGACAGGTAGATAGTCTCAGAACTGAATTGAATTAAGAGGACGTCCAGCTTTTGTCTGCTGCAGAATTGATCAGTTACTGGGGAGAATTCCCCATAAACTTCTTGATGACCAGAGGTCACTTCGATGTATTCTGTGTTGATTGTTGTGTTGTGACAGTATACTAGGAAGAAAGTGAATTTGTTTTCCACTCATACAGTTGTATACTGAGCAAAGTTGTCAAACTGATATAAAAGTTGTATCTATTTTCATAGTATTTTAATTCCAATAACTGTTTAAAAAATATTCATTTTTATCTACAATACTCCTATTTTCACAAAAGCTGAAGAAACATTTAGGTATATACTAAATTTTAACATTTATTTTGCATTTATATTTCTGAATGTCTGGTAACATAAAACAGAGTGAAGCAAGTTATTGTCAATGAAAAGAGTCAAACTCTGTGAAATATTTGAAGAGATTTATTCGGAGTGAAATATGAGTCATCATGTCCTGTGACATGGCCCCTGGAGATGCTGAGACATGTGCCCAAGGAGGTCGTGCCACAGCTGGGTTTTATGTTTCAGGGAAGAGACATAATAGGTGGATTCAAGAATTTTCTGATTGGCAGTTGGCTAAAAGAATTTATCTAAAGACCCAGAATCAAAAGAAGGAATGTCTGGGTTAAAATAAGGGGTTGGGGAGACCAAGTTGTTCTTATTATGCAGTTCTTATTATATAAACATCATGTATGAGGAAGATAAAAAGTGGCTTCCATTATACTGACTGACTCCTGATGGTACAGACACAGTCCTGAGCTGAGAAAACATTCAGTTTATTAAATATTGCGAATGGATGGAATATCAGATACATCATCTCTATGTGTAAATATTCGATTCCATCTCAACATCCAATTTAGATTACATGGATTTCTTCTTTGCTTTTCTCTAATAATTACAACTAGGATCATTATATATTTTATTAGTTTCTTTAGTCTTTAAGATATTTTTTAAATGATGTTCAAATAAACTTCGAGTTTTCTCCAACTTTTTCTGAACAACACATTTCCGTTCTTAAGATACAGCTTTTAATTCATATACTTGATGCTACTCAGTGGCGTCTTATCTGTAGTAGGAAGAAGGAAATTGTGTTTCAATGAATAGCATAAAATCATTTAACTCTTACTCATTCTTTGTTACCTTCTTCCTGCTGACATGGTATGTAAGGCTCTTTTAGTTCTGTTTGCTACTAGACTCAATACTATTTTCATAACATTGAAGTCTAACCAAGATATTTAAGGTCGAAGCAGTGATAACCAAATGGAGCTTGCATACTAGGTGACTCCATCTTGGCCCAGGGTTACACGTTAGAAACATCCATGCCCAATAAAGCTAATTAATTTTTGATACCCCTCAGGAAAAAAAAAAAAAACTGTTGATATTCACAACGCACCGCAATGTTTCTCACATGTGTCTTTCCCCATCCTTTTTCTTCTCTACCTCTTACTAGTCTTCTCTTCAGTGTAATTAGTTACAAACTCTTACATAGTGCTTGTTACATCCCAAGCACCATTCTAGGTACTTCACATGTATTAACATATTTAATCCTTACAATAAGCCTATGATTAGGCGCTACTATTAGTGCCCTATTACAGATGAGAAAACTGAGACTCAGAGAGTTAAACTTGGCCAAAATCACAGAGCATATAAGTGGCAGGGTCAGTGTAAGTGCACACAGCAGCGAGCAGAAGGTTACGATGCTTCCCAAAGCCTTTTGTCAACTCATCCTCTTAGCACCTTTCCTTCCTTTCCTTATTTTCTCTTTCTCCACAGTTTCTTGTCGCTAGCCAGTAATTCTCTCCTTCATTGAAAGTCTAGCAATCCAATCAGTACCCTCCATTTCTTTTTTAACCCACTACCTCAGGGTGCCTGAGAAAGAGCCAGGAGGTAGTCAGCCAGCCTGAACTCTCCTTTGGGGAAGGTAGAAAAGAGGGGGAAAAGATGGAGTTGGAGAAGGTTCCGTGGATACCTATGGATAGTGGCTGCTTTTTTCCCCACTAAAAAAAAAATTATGTTTTAACCTGTGTGTGGGATCCAAAGAAATATCAAAAGCAAATAATAATAATATCATCACGAATACAGCCAGAATGAGAAGTTACAAGCTTGGGAGACCAGATTACATTAGAACAAGACATATTGTCCTCAAGCCCTTCCCCCATGGCCTTCTGACATTTTTTTCTTCTTAGTGTGACTTCAAATCCATTGTCAGAAGCAACATTAATGGGGATAAAGATGACTTGCTATTGATCATTTGAGGAAAGAATCAGATGGCAAATAAATACATAAAATAGAATATAGAGCAGCTGCCTAAGTTTAGTACTGTCAAAGTGGAGTTAAAAAGCTTTGGAGGTCATAGGGTTTTCTGTGCCATAAAAATCTCACATCAAATCAAATCAGATAATGTATACTTAGGCTGCCTTCAAACCCCAAGGAAGCTCAAGCTTTTATTTTTATTTTTCTCAAACAACATCTAATCAAATAAATACTCAATAACTTTTGCTTTCCAGTTTTCAAACCATAGCCCTATTATGATCTGGTTATTTTCATTATGGGGGCCAATCATACAGAATGACACCTGGTGCTTGGAGAATACTATACATACATCCACTCTGTCTCTAAGTCACACTTGATCCATATCAAGCTTCAAGAAGAAAATTTCTAATCAGTTGTCAAATTCCAGTATTCCAGCAGACTTTCATATTCATGACCTTGGGGCATTCTGAAATGCTAAATAGCATATCATAACTTTTTAAATTACAACTCCTATAGATTAAGAGAGTTTTTATAGGTTTGCTGCATTTATGTGTCTGTTTGTGAAAGAGATTATTAGAGCGACCCTTGTATATATAGGAATTAGGACTGAAATAATATCTCAGCTGTTGATATTTGAAAATTTAAGATTAGAGATCAAGCAAAATGCATTGTAATCCTATATGAAGAAATAGTATCACAGAAACTTTTAAAAGATATGTGTTACAGCATTGGCCTTACAAATAAGTGTGGGCAGTTACAGAAACTCCAAGAAAGTTTCTGATCTTTCTTCCGTTCCTTGATTTCTGAAATACAAACAAATCCTAATGCTAATAATATCAAGAGTTTTCTACTGCTTTCCTAGTAACAGATTTTAATAGGGGGCAAATGAAGGAAAGAATATCTGTCAGGGAAAATGAATGAGAATAGAGAAGGCCTTAGTGGCATGTGCCCCAGTGAAAATGATGAGAACCACCCTCAAGTAAATGAAGTGGTGATTCACTTATTTAAAGGTGGTGGATTTTTTGAGACAGGTGAGGGCAGTCTGCTAACCAAGTACTTGACCAAAACATAAATTAGTGATGTCTTGAATTTATATTGTGGAATATTTGCTGTCTCAACTCCTGTGTCATGAAATACTACATTATATTGGACAATTCTATCTATACACTGAAATTCCTTAACCACACATCAAAATTTTATATAATGACTCTACTGTAACATAAAAATGATATAATTTTTGATTTTAGAGGCAAATACTTTTATACTTATTTTGGAAATAAAAGAAAATAAAACATTAATTGGTAATAATTATTAAGTAGAAGAGATATGAAAATGTCAATGTCTACTATTTATTTTCTTTTTAAACTTTGAAATACCTGTATTTTCTTCTCACATTTGACTCCAGCATATTCAGTGCGGCAGGAACACACATTGGGAAATACGCATCTGCCTCCATAAAGACATTTGGGGTTGCAAATTGCTGCAATACACAAATTTTTACAATGACCATCTTTTGACATGTCAAATGCTTGTGACATATTCTATTCCAGTTGTCTGAGGCTATGTGGTGACTGGACACTAATGCCATCACAGGAATCTATTAATGAACCATCGATGGATGAATCTAATCTATGTGTTCCCATCTTTCAGAACACATACACACATCAAAAACAAAACACCCCAAACTGAAACAACACTTTTGGAATTCCATAAAGATATTATTAAAAGAAACAAAAATTTCATCGATTATATTTTAAAGTATTTGAAATACATCTCTTTTTTTAGAGGAGCCCAAGTCATTAACAGAAGATAGCATTTATAATTGGCTTTTTAATATTTAGCAAAAGTTTAAAACAGGCAATTCAATACTGACTAGTGTATGGAAAAACTGACAATTTTTACACTACCATTAGAAGTTTAATGTAAAACAACTCTACTGGAAATTTCTGAAAAATACTCATGCTGTCTATATCAGAAATTTCTTCCTTGAAATCTTTTCTAAGGCAATTAAAAATACTTGTATCTATCTCAATATCTCAATTTATTTATCATCTACTTGTAGAAAGAAAATGCTTTTAATAATAATAACTTGTAAATAACCAAAATGGTAAACATAAGGAGGAGGCTAAAGCAACTTTTGTAATATTTATATTATGGAATTAATATATTGCTTAAAGTTTTGTTTTTAAAGGACATAAATGTTTTAAAGCAATATTGAGTGAAAATTAGCATACCATAAAATTATATAATAGTTACTGCTTCAATATTACATACCTGAAGCTTCCACGTTCAAGAATAATATGTCCTTTAAGATAAATGCAACATTGACAGTATATGTTTTCATCTGGGCTGCTGTATACAACTGGGCAGGTTGTGTAGTCAATCCATAAGGGATCCACAGCGAAGGAAGCAGCATTCACATGATAGTCACCATAGATTTGAATATTTATTATAACCATTTTCCAGCAGATGGTAGTAGCATATTTTGTTTAAGAAATATCAATATATTTGGACAGTTTCTCAATAGTTGGAAATAAAGAATTTGAAGTAGGGCGACTTTTTAAATTCACATAAAAATGCTGCAGGGTGCAGAAACAGGGCGCACAGCTTCAGCTTCAGGCTGTGCTCAGACAACCTCAATCTGCAACCACTGAAGCATATTTCTTCATTAATGTGTTTTTAACATCTTCTCATCCTTCTCTCTTATGGTCTACATGGAGCTCACTCCAGAACAAGCAATCCACCTTGAGGTTGCTAACTCTTTTTTTTCTAGCATTTTATCACAGCTAAATTCCAATTAAAATTATCAATTTTTGAGCATATATTTCTTATGTAAATGCCAGCACTTAATAGTACTTTGATATGTCTTCCTAGGATAAGAAACGTATAAATTACAAGAGCATTTACTAATAAAATAAGGTTTAAGTGTCAAAAAAATTTCATAGTAAAATTTCTGATGCATGGAAACAAGGGTGTGGTTCACAAGACATTGAAATGGAAGGTCCATTATTTCTAGTAAAAAAGCATGATCATAATAGAACTGTGTAATTTCAGCTTATGGTACACTTGGCCACCAATTTTGAAATTATATAATTATTAACCACTTGGAAATATTTTCAGAGGACTTCCAGTTTTTCCCATTAAGTTAGTCATTGTTAATATTTTAACATGTTATTTCAAGTTTCCACAAAAAATGTCGAAATTGCATACAATTTGATCTTCCTCTATACCTTAAGATTTCATCTATGAAGAAATTTGTGACTAACATGGGATGGTAATATACTAAAACTCTAAAAAAGCAACAGAAATTAATTCTGGATGGTAAAATTTAGAGTGAATAATTTTTAATACATTTCTGTATTTTAAGGTATCCATGATAAATATGTATTCATCTTATAATATGAAATAATATTTAAACTTCTGTATATCTACACCTTCTTTGGTCTACCTGGGCAATTTTACTGGCAATCCACAGACGATAATTTGAAATTATCTCTGTCACACAATCTATTAATATATTACACTATACTTTCCTCTTTTAAATGGATATAAAATTTAGTAAGTTTTATTTCTAAAATCGTTTTTTAAAAAGTATCATCACGCTGGAGTTTTTTACCCCCATGGATTTGTTCTAAAGCTGTACTTTAATTATTATAATAGATTCCAATTCAGAACAACAGTAGGAAACACATCCTGTGGGCTTACATATTTGACACTGCACTCCTTCCCAGGAGGAAGGACAATGGCATACGCTGGGAGCAATGCATTCACCACTGTTTTGACATTTCTGCAAGCAGATAGCTGCCAATTGAAATATAAACAAGTTAAAATTTTTAATGACTAGTCAAATCCTATCCATAACCCTTGAAACTTTTCATTAGGGAAAAGAAAAGACATAGTTAAAAGTCAGTGATTAAAGAAATTTTTTACCCTAATATTTATCAAGAATATTCTTGAATGTCACTACATATTCTTGGAAAATGTGACCTTAACAGTTGTAAAATGTTCCATTGTTTGAATTCATCATGATTTAACTTTTCTCCAATTGTTTGATATCTAGGTTGGTTCTCATTTTTTTACTTTGATCAAAACACTCTAGTAGTGACTAATTTAAAATAATTTACAGAAAGGAAAAAAAGAATGAAACATTTGAATGAAGACAGCCACCCTCAGGAGCTAACCAGCCTGAGTGGCACTGTGACTTCCTCTTGGAAAGGATTAGACCTGGATAGTTTGAGGTGGGGCCATGAAATCACTAATTTTTTTAAAAAACCTTTCCCTGATTCCTACTTCAGGACTTAAGGGCTTGTTATTTATCCTGGCAAGTGCAACAGAAAACCTGAAAATTACACTATATCCTCTTCTGCTAACCTGAAAGAATGAGTTCAGAAGAGGAGAAACTTTCTACTTCAGAAAGCTATCTCCTGCAGTAGGATACGTACGCAAACATTTTAAAAAGACCAAGCAAAAGAAAGTAAAAAACAATATTCTCTGTTTTAAATTCTCCTTTATGTTCCCATGAAGATTGAAAGCTTTAGTATCTTAAGATTCCTCTTACGTGTGTTGCATTGTTTCCCACTCCAACCAGAAGGACAAGAGCAAGTGTTTGGTCCCACGCATTTTCCTCCATTCATACACATAGGGTCACAGATGCCTTAAGGTAAAAGCATGAAAGGTCAGCCCTTACATTCCATAGTTTTGTCTTTGCTTTACCTGTAGTTAACAAATACCTTTAGCAATGTCTTACTTTTTTGGCATCTCCTACCAGTGTATCCTTCACGACAGACGCACACATTATTTCTCATGCAGCGGCCACCATTCTTACAGGGAGGGTGACAGAAAGCTGAAAGAACACATGGCAGCAATCTGTGAATATTACACATTCAATTATTACACATGAGACATAGCATCATGTGCTTGTTATCAATGAGAGCATAAGGCAGAGAAATGTGCTGTTCACCAAAAGATCACTTATTAAACCTGTCCTTTTCCAAATCACAAAATGCGATGCTTATACCTATAAGCTGCTATCGGGTTAGCACAGTTTGAAATGTATTAAGTGTTCATAACAAATTGAGTCTTTGGTATTACAATGAATATATTATAAATCTTATGTTTCACTACACAATAAGTAGAGCATGGAATGATCTAGACAAAACCCAGAAAATAAGTCAAAACCTAAAAATAAGAATGTACCTGTTTTGGGGGAAATTAGACAAATCTCAATAATTTCCACCTATTTAGAAAGCACTCAAATTAGCTTTTGAACACTTCCTAAGGTTAGGAAGGGAGAGCTTTATATGTGACTTATTCCTGTGAATACTTGGTAAAAATCCTTTTAACAATAAATTCTTGGCTTTGTTAAGAATATTTGTTAGATAATTTTGAATATATCTTACTGTTAGCGCCTATGTATATAATTCTGTTTTATGAAATTCAGAGGTTAAGATATATTAATTTTATGACATGGTTATGATTACTTTATATTTTTCCAGGTATGAAAATTAAATACAGGCATTTATTTTAAGTAATACACAGGCAAAACTGTCTAGAAAATTAAAATTTTAATTTATTCCTAAATAATAATTAAATAAATGTTAGTTTATATTTTAAACATTAATTTCAAATTAACTGGTATTAATAATAGGATTAGTGTAAACTGACTCCCAGTTTGCAATAATAGATGCTTCATTTCCAAACACTGTAAGAAAAATTCAGTTTTCAAATGAATTTTTAAATGGAAATAATGTAGAACTTTATAATAACAAAATAATTGATAGCTTTTAGCAAACCCATAGTTTCCAATATTTTAGGCTAAACTTTTTCTGGTTCATGCTTGAGTCTACTGTTATTTCTCTGACATTTTATCGATACTTCTTATTGGTGAAGAAATGTTCTTATGTTTTCTGCTCCCTACCCTTTATACAATTTAAGATTATTATCATTTATTAGAAAAAGTACATTTTTCCTACTACAAAAACTCTATAGGAAATGCCTGTGGTTAGGAATTTAAAATTTAAAAAAACTCCACAAATTACTTATGATGGGTAATCTTGCTATAATTAATTATCCACAAAAACTTGAGTGTAGAAATAAATATTTATACAAAAAACACAAACAATTAATACATACAAAGGGCACACAATTTAGACTTGGCTATGTCTATCCATAATCCCACATTAGGAAAAGGAGATTTATGAGGAAAATCCATCCTCCACATATATTTATGAGATTCTGTAGGCCTCATATGGCTCTGTCACCAAACCCCAGAGTGAGCTAAGTAACTGGCATTCACTCTCCATGTGAAATCCAAGAGGTAAGCAAATTTGAAGGTGTATTTCATCATCTCTTCAGTCATACATTCTAGGCCTTGCTTATTAGTTTAGTAGTTTAACTTTTTTGTGTTGTTTCTAGCTCAATTTCTATCTTCTATTTTTAAAATTCTATAGTGCACACAGTATACGTTTTTCATATGACTTTATATTCCACCTAATTTTATTCAGTCACTTTCAATGTATCTGTCATCTTCCCTTCCCACCATTTAGGCTCACAGGAAGACGAGGTCTAATAAGAATTACATGTCACAGCCACTGTCTAGATCATTCTTGAAAGCCAGGAAAGTCTGAGGCATGGAGGCTTTAAGTAAACTTCCATACCAGCTAGAAACTTGTGGAGGTAAGCTAATTTTAAAACCTACTCTCTCCTCACAGTGATAATCTGCTTTCTGACCCTTAAAGCATGGAATATATTCAATAGATAATTTTTAATTCAATTTAATAATTGAAAGATTGCTTCCTTTAACCACTTATACAACTGGCATATACATTTTAAAGAATTTTCTTACTATTCTTACATCTACTTCAAGTAGCATGACAGATGTAAGGTTTTCATTTCCTTCCTTACATTCTCCATTCAAGCTACATACATAACTCTTTAGCATGGATTTAGCCATAGTCTTCTAGTTTTCTAGATTTCCCTTAACTTAATCTTTACTTCTTTTTGTTTCTCAAACTGTTTCCTCAAAGGAATATGAATTTCAGGAACTCATTTGCTATGCCCATACATCCTGCATTAGCATGATGGCATCTTTTCTGCTTTATTTTTATCCTAGGAATTTTAGCCAACATCCAAAATAAAAGAAACAGAATTGCAAATCAAAGTGCATCATGGCAAGGAAAATATAAATTTTAGGAATTATGAAAATACTCTGACATGTTCTATAGTAAAACTCTACTTTTTTTTAAACTCAAAATTATGAAGATACAGAAAATACACATTACATATTATGGATTGACATTAATTCATACCCTCAAGACATCCCCATTGTTCTGAAAATAACCTGTAACATTAACTATATGATGAAAAGTGTTGAAATAATAAGCTGTGACAAAGAGAAACGATGCATTTTACGTCTCTGTATCTTCTTGCATAGTGCTGTGCACAGGTGATTCTTCATCAATGTTTAATGAAACTAAGGTGAAAAGAGATTATGGGATAATGGTGAACAGTAGATTGACCATAAATCAAACATTTCTGCTGGGTAGGCAACAACAATGACACAATTTCCTTACAATAGACTACAGCAGAACTTTGCTTGTTTCACATGTTGGGCCTATAAAACTGCACAGAGAGGTACCAAGGTCTGGGCTTCCCATATATTGAGTCAATATAACCATTTTTCATAATAACTTTGATATATTTTTGTAAGCGAGTAATTTGGTGGAGATACTTGAAACATCACAAGAATTGTGGGAAAGATAATAGGATCTTTCCCTTTGAAATTTACCTCGTGTTTACTCAGAGCTCTGTCAATGTCTAACTTTCCATTTGCCCTTTTTACATACAAACAAAGAATAATTACCATTCTGACACTGTGCACCAAAGAATCCATTTGGACAGAGGCAAGTGTTTGGCTTATTACACGAACCACCATTGAGGCAAACAGGGTCACACAAAGCTATTGAACAGCAGGAGGAAAAGAGACCATAAAAGTTTTATTATTTAAAAAATGAAAGCTGCACAGAAGTACAAAATGGTGCATAATGAAATATTTTATTTTTACTGCAAGTAAAACCTATAATTAATTAGACTTGGCCAAACATGAGAGGAATGAAATAACTTGATAATTCCTTTGAAATGATATTCATTAAGCTTACAAATAACACTAAGTTAAGAATTGCAAGAACTACAGAAAGAAAAGAAGCAGGAGAAGGTGGCTCGCCAGTCAGGACAGATTTATTTTAGAGAAAGCAAACCTGAGAGGTGCCTACTGGCTGCGTTAGGTCAGAGGCTCACTCTTACAGAGTTTTTAAGGATTTAGGGTGGGAGAGTTTATTACAGGTTTGGACTGCTTCTGTATCTGTTGTGCTTATCTGGGAGGGAGGGATATAGGTCTGTTCCCATACATCTTTCTGCAGCTACAGGCGTATCTCGAGCATCGGCTTTTAGCTTTCCTACCTTAGTGCCCCTGAAGAGGAAAAAAAATGTGCTTTTTAAGGCCCACTGTTTTGCTGGGGCTCATTGTATGAGGGTGAAGTTTGGCAGTTACTCAAGAGACTTTGGCCCTCCACCTCCCTCTGTGCCAGAGCTGTCTTACTTGTGTTTTACTATTTGCTCTTTCTGGCTGCTTGTAGTGATAAGAGAAGTGATTACCTTGAAATGCAAGAGACTAGAAAGGGAACTGGAATTTAAAGTGGCAGTGCTTTTCAGAGATGACGCTGCTCCTGCTCTATTAAGAATGTGGAGGCTATGATTAGAATTCAGAATGCCCAGCCTAGTCGAATGCCCATACTTGTCTTTTCATGTCAGTTTCATGTTTCTTAGGTGTGTGCCTTCAGGACATTGGCATATTTTAACTTTTAATTGACATGTTCATTGAAAATATTTCCAATTTTACCTTTACTAAGGTGGGTCCATACCAATAGATATTAACTACACTCAAGTCCTAGCACATTCAAAACATTCTTTGTTTTTGCTTCTTTATTTTTGTTTTTCTTTGAAAGGCATGCCCAATTTCATTTTCTGCCCTACATTCTACCCATTCACCAAAATCTACTACAAATACTATTTTCCTCCTCATTCCACTTGCCAAAATTAATTTCTCCCTTCTCTTATAAGAAACTGTGTTTCAATAACATTACTTATCATAACTCAACTTGTATCACCGTCTTTTTATAATTGTATCCCATGTCTCTGTTACTAACAATATGCTACTTGAAATCAGGGCAAAAATCAAATAGATATTTGTTTCCACTTGTATCATGCTTTGCAAATAATTGGCCAGCTATAAACACTGAATTACATTTTCGCTGAGAAAAAAGTCAATAGATTATAACGAATTATATCAAACACAGAGCATTGCAAACATTGCTGCCAAAGAAACAAGCCTAGGCAAGGCATGGTGGCTTAGGTCTATAATCCCAGCACTTTGGGAGGCTGAGGCAGGCAGATCATAAGGTCAGGAACTGGAGACCAGCCTGACCAAGATGGCGAAACCCCATCTCTACTAAAAATACAAAAATTAGCTTGGCATGGTGGTGTGCACCTGTAATCCCTGCCACTCAGGAGGCTGAGGCCGGAGAATCACTTGAACCCAGGAGGCAGGGGTTGCATTATGCAGAGATTGTGCCACTGCACTCCAGCTTGGGTGATGGAGCAAGACTCTATCTTAAGAAAAAAAAAAAATACACACACACACAGCAAGCCTAATACATGGAATAACATGAAGAGTGTCTACTTAATTCAGAATTGTTTAGATATTTAATGAAATAGGATGTTTGTGTTGTGATGAAAAACTTTAAAGAAATCTAGAAGGTTCAACATGTTTCTCTTCACCATAAGGTACATGAATGAGGGAAATATAAAAGGAAAAAAAGGATTGGTTGGCTAAGATAACAGTAAAGCTGTAAGTCACCATATGGTTCAATATAAAAAGAAAAGTAGTAAAGAAGAAAGAGTTTTAAAAATCTGTCTGAAATAACAGCTTCATACCTGTCTTGTCAGGTCAGTTTTATATTTCTTAGGTGCACGTCTACAGAACATTGGCATATTTTAACTTTTAATTGATATGTTCACTGAAAATATTTTCAGTTTTACCTGTACTACAGGTGGGTCCATACCAGCCAGGCTTGCACTGGCAAATATCTGGTGTAAGACATTGGCCTCCATTTTCGCAGTGCCTGTTACAAACCACTGAGATCAGAGAATAAAGACAAAAGAAAGATTAGGCTTGGTGTAGTCATAGTGTTGGTTCTTAGCTAGCTAGCTCATAACTGCCAATCACATCTGCTAATGTATAAGATCAGAGAGAAAGATAAAATATAATTTATACTCAGGCTTGAAATACTCTCTGATTCTCACATTTAGTTATTTTATTTTTTTGGTTAATAGAGATAGAAAAAATAGAAAAACATTGAGCCAAGTGGTAAACAAGAGTTGGCTATTTAGGAAAATTATTAGTTACTGATGAAAGCAATCATAGACATAAATTTAAAAAGAAATTTATATGCAGTATAACAAATTTGAATTCCTGCTATTTCAAAGAAAGGTCATGGATAGCATCAAAGCAATAGTTAATTTCAAACACAAACTTCTTTATCTTAGTGCTGGCCGCTGTGGTTGATCCCAGTGCTATGCAAGATGGTAACTGTTGCCATCAGTCATCAATGTGTGTTCTTTACTTAGAGTTAGGGTTCATTTCATGTAGCATTAAGGCCATCAACTATTCAAAGAAGCAATTTTATTCTATAAGACAGTAGGAGAGCTTTGCTTACTTGTTTCACACCTTGGTCCTACAAAACCATAGGGACAAGTACAGAGATTGCCAGCCATGCATGTGCCACCATATTGACAAGGTGGGTTACAATGTTCTGCAGATACAGATTATGTTATTAAGTCAGTTCTTAATTTTTAAAGTCAGTTTATAATTATAAAGCACCATCACAACAACCTCTTGTTGTAAGAACAATTTATAATATGTAGTTCTCTTTTAATACAAAATTTAGTTCCATAAAACTGACTATATTAATTCACACAGGAAACACTTACAAACCAGTAGCATGCTTTGATTTATAAAACTTTTTGTTAATTGAAAGGAAATATAGAATCTAGCCTTCTTGTGAAAAGTGAAATGAAATAGGATGTTTGTGTTGTGTTTGAGTTGAACTTACATATTCCTGCCTTACAAATACAACTTTCCTATACTTCTATAGTTATTTTCCTATACTATTTTGATGAATGTTTCTGGAAGTTCAATCTAAATTTACTTTAATTTGTTAATTTGTAAGCTGCCTTGCCATAAAAACATTTAACATGGCTCTCAGGTTATTCATAATTATATGCACCATCTACCAAACTATCTTTTAAAATATTATTTTAAAATAAACAACTTATTTCTTTAAAGTATTATCCACTTTAGGAATGCTATTTCATAATTTTCCACTTAAGATTTTAAACGAAGCAATGCAATTATATGGCTATAGATGTATTTTTTAAAAATCACATTTTAGGTTTCTTCTTACTACTTTACATTTTCTAATTATTTGGCATTTAACCATATTTTGTAGGTCATTCAACAGCTTTCTTTTGCTTAAAGCTAAAATATTCATAGAGATACAGTACCCTATCGCTTCTTGGCCTTTTGGCTAAATCAAGTGTGGAGATACAGTACCTTATAATTAAACCTCAAAGCATTTTAGAGGATAATTTTACAAACAACGAATAAGCTATTACTCCTTGACTCTCTGATTTCAGAAATTTAATTCTTCAGAATTTTCAAATAAATTATATTTAGTAAGTATTGTAAATAAGTATAAAATTAATACTACACCAGCTTTAATAAGTATATTTTAGTATATACACAGTAAAACTGAATTGTGTTGTAAAATGATTTTTAAAGCTATTGTGCTATATTTTAGGCATATATTTGATTTTTAATTTGAATTATCACCTTCATCACAGGTTGTTCCACCATGTCCCGGAAGACACTGACAAACGTTAGGCTTAATACATTTTCCATAGTTTTTGCAATCAGGGTCACAAAGAGCTGTACAAAATAAAGCCCAGGTTTTAGACGTATCAATTATCAAATAAAATTTATCATGCAAACTAATGAATGATGTTACCTACCAGTTTGGCAGTTAGAACCAATGTAACCAGGTTTACATTTGCATACGTTTGGGGCAACACACTCCCTACTTTTTCCACATGGATATCTACAAATGGCTTTAAAAAATCAAGGAAAAAAAGGTTAATTGCTAATACAGAACATACATGTTTCCCACAGACTTAGTTATAATAAAAGCAAAAGTCTCTGAAATTTGAATAGTATGATACTACTGTTAAACAACCACCAATATATTTGCCCATAAAATTGTGTTTTTCCCCTTTATATTTGCTTTACTACTAGCATGATGGAGAAAAATTATTAATAAGGTAAGGAAGAACCATCACATGTGGTAAGGATTCCCAAAGCAGAACGTGATGTTGGAGATAGCAGCTAATCATACATGGGGTTACAGTGTCTTTTCAAATGAAAGTTTCAAAGGAATTTCAGATACTAATCTGCTAAATGTTGATGAATGACAAGGATAATCAGAATTTCAAAGAGCAAGATGCCAGGAATGTATCATAAACTAATAGGTTACTATTTCCTAAACTTCTCTAATTACCTAATATATTCCAGTTAGCATTCAACACTTCCTGAGATAACCGAAATGCGTCAGATTATTTTGTTCCATTTGTTAAAAAATTAGGTGTTTTATATTATAAGCAGGTAGGTATTGAGGGTTACTATTATTATTCCTACAGGAAAAAAGAAAACCTAAGTCCCTCTAGATAATACTGAGAACACAAGAAATTTCCAACAACTCTCCAGCTTAAGTTTAGTCTCAAACAAGCCAAAACACAAACAAAGCAAAACAATAAAACAAAACAGCTTCTAATGTATCAAAGTCAAAAATTTGATTTTCCTCAGAGAAGACAATCTTAATAATTGTGAGAAGACAGAAACAATGCTGTTAAAATTAAAGTCATAGACAATTTGCTATAATCTCAAAAGAGGTGGAGGGATTACAGAGAAACCTAGTTTACGCAAATAAGCAACTATGCCAGAATTAGGAATCTGAAGGGCTAAACACCCACTGTGAGCTGAAAAGAACACAGATCACAATGTTAATCAGATCTATGTTGACATCTTTTATCTGCTTAGCTGATTAATGCTGGGAAACTCAGTTGGCACTCCAAAGCTGTTTTCTCATCTGTATAATGGGAAAAATAATCCCCGATATGTTCAATTCATGTAGATTATATGACACAGTTGATACAAAATGTTTCCACAGACCCTGGAACACAGAAAGTACTCAAATGTATTTGTAACATATAAAGTTGTAATACTCTATAATATTAACATGATTTTAGTAAAAAACTCAGAAAATCCACTTTTGTTTTTTCAACGTGTGATGAGAATACAGTATAAATGATCAATTAATAAAATAAACAGAAATAAGTGAATTAAGCAGAATAAATAGAAATTGGCAAATTAAAAAATATATCTTTTTAATCACTTAAACTTGAATTAGATAATTTTGTTTTTATATTCTGAAGACTTCCATACTACCTCTGCAATTGATACCATCTCCATAATACCCAAAAGGGCAGCGTCCACATTTGAAGTGACCATCTGAGCTTGGCACACAGGAAACACCAAGAAAACAAGGCGAGTCTTCGCAAGGTGATATTTTGGTTGATCCAAACTTTTCTGGCAAAATAGTGATTGCTTTGGTAACAGATGACACAAACTCCTCTTTATACTGTATGCCACCTTGGGAAGACCTGCTAATTTGAGAATTGTACCCTCCTGTCTCTGTTTGGATGGTGTTCCGGATATCACCTTCTGCTTTGCCATGGGTGCTGGTTGGCCTCATGCTTAAAGAGCTACTGTTCTTCATAGAAACTTCCAACTCATCCAGACTGCGATTTGTACTGAGACTATGATCCACCTGTTCAAAACCTGATATCTGATGGGAAACAGTCTTTATTGAATTATCCATTTGAGTTGTAATTGATTTTAGTGATGAGCAGATGTTCGTTGTGCACAATAACTTTTTTATAGTAGCGGGAGTAGGGGTAAATCTTGTACCATTTAGTGAATATTCTGTTGATGGTGGCTGAAAATTTATACCTGTATAACCAAAAAATTTTTAAAAAGTTAGCAGCATTTCTTAATAGTCTTCTCTACCTGATATATTGTACATTAAGTAATTCACTTCCTCATTTAGTATCTACAAGACTAACACTGTAAATAGTAGGAGCTGTGTACTAATAAGAAATCATGACACTGTTTCTGCCTTCAAGGAGCCTATGATCTTTTGTGGTAGACAAGCTAACACAGAATGTTAAATAGTATAAAAGTTAAAGTACAATCATTGATTTAATTAAGATTTTGAAACAGCTAACGAACACCTGTTAATCACCTCATACACGTGAGCCTCAAAACGAAGGAAAGCATGGCCCCTATCCTTGAGCAAGTTAGAATACTGTCAAGGATACAGACATGTGAGCGTCTCACTAAGACACACAATCATTGAGAACTGCTACAAGACCGACAAATGTAAAAATGAAGCCTGTAGAAACACACAAGAGTAAGTAATTTTGCCTATAAAGAAGACAGGAACTAAATGTGTAAGTAAAAATTGGAAAATTATATAAATGCTTTTACATGAGAGGTAAACAACCATGGCTCTAATAATTTTACCAATATAATAAAATGAGATTCTATGTGTCCATCTTGGTTGCTCAACTAGAAATTAAAACATTTTTACACATCCTTTTTTGGGTAGTCACTACTTATTTCTACCTGCCAAAATACTTCATTTCCTTATAACACATTTTTACTTCTTTGATATGGAAAAATCTAATAAGTTTTAGAATATGAACACATTTTAAGCATGATTAGACAAGTTTTTCTTGTTATACTGTCTAATGCAAATGAAGGGCTTGATTTTGCACTGTCTTCATCCAAAGCTCTTCTTCAAGGTTTTAAAATATAAAATCAGAAAACCAAGCCAAATCACAAAAATAATCCTTAGCATAGTTGGCAACAAATGCAATGAAAGATTTTTGGAAAATGTGAGAACTTCCTGAAACATAAAAAGTACATGCGTCCAGACTAATAGAAACAAGAGTGCACCAGATAGAGCCCCAAACATAAATAAGGGCAATGAAGTAAGCACAAATAAGTCAACAAATGCAGCAAAAGGGTCCTAGACTAACAATTCCCAGGAGAACTGTTTCAGATGATCTGCGCCAAGTCAGTGTCCCCTTCCGTGAGCCTCTGTACACAGAGGGGACTCCTTCCAGAACCACATTGCTTTACATGAACCTTCTCCTTAAGGGAGTGTTTATTGTCAGAACTGGAGAAAGAAGCAGAGAACTGCAACTCCAGATTGCAAAAATTATCACTGAAGAAAGTAAGAAAAGAGCGCATATTAGCAAATGAATGCTAGTAAATTACATTTTTTCTTCTGAAGTTTAATGAGTTGATGTTCCTATGAAGGTCGGAATCAGAGATATCATAAAAATTATAAAATACAAGAATCCTGAGAAGATATTGGCCTTACACATATTAAAATGTAGTATAAAGCCACACTAATCAAAACAATGTATTATTGGCACAGAAAAAAAGACTATTAGAAAATAATAACATAATAGAAAGCTCAGAAATATATCTTAAAATATAAGGGACTTTAAATGAAAAATATGATATTTAAATTCAATGTGGCTTATTTTATAAATGACACTACATAATTGCTATTCATCTGGAAGAAAAAAGTATTGGACCACTACTTATATCAGAAAACGACAAATTTCAAGTGGATTAAAAACTAAATATAAAATGTAAAATAATAAATGTTCTAAAAGAGAATTTAAAGTTCACATTTATAACTTAAACTTTGAGAGATCCTTAAACTGAAGCTGTAAATAAAAGATTTTAAAAATATATTTATTTGATTACATAAAATGTTAATGCTTTCATATAAAAAGAAAACACAGATAAAGGCTAACCCCAGAGATAAACATGCTAATTTCAAGTACATACTATGTATAGAATCAGAATATATGAGGTGGTCACAATATATAAAGTACTCCTACAAATCAACAGAAAAGGCAGTAAAAGGATAGCAATTAGCAGAAAAACAAACCTAAATGATTATTTGAAAAAAGAAACGCAATTAAATAGATAACCTTTGTTAACTTCTATCTAGGAAAAATCAAAAACAGTAGCAGTGGTAAGATACAAGTAAACAACTTTGGAGATGGGAAAATTGAAAAGCTATATACAAGAAGACAATTTTAAATTGTACAAGAGTACTACCTATAATTATTTACAATAATTTGAAATCTAAACGTGACAAATGATTTTCTTGCAAAATATAAATGAGTAAATTGACTCAAGAGGAGGTATAAACGTTGATGGAAGTAGAAAAACAATCCAAAATTACTCCCCCAAATTATGCTAGGAAAGATCACCTAATGAAAAATTTTTACCAAATAGTCAAGGAGAGAGTATTTTCAAAATTACAGCAATGCGCAAAAAGAGATGAAAAGTTTTATGAACACTTTATTAAAGTGGCATAACCATATAGTCAATATATTTGTGACATCATATAATAAATAAAATGATATGCTGGCAAGTCTAAAGTCAGTGTTTTTATGGAAAAATATATTAGGATTAGACTTGTATCTATTAACATAATTATATTATGTAATTGCATAAAGACAATATGGAAAATATAAAATGATGTTAAAATACAATATGCATTAATTATTGATTTTAAATATTGTGAGAAAATTAGTCTAAAGAAACTTTGTTAATTGCAATTATGGTAAGTAATAAATGATGCCAAAAAAGCATTTGATAACATTTATAACCCAATCCTGATTTAAAAATAGGAATTCTGAAAAGTCAACTAATAAAAGGAAAATTCATTAATTGGATAAAGGATATATAGTAGAAACTACAGTGATATCATGGTCAATAGTGTAACGTGAGAAGAATTCCCATACCATGAACAAAGCTCTCCCTTCCTGACAGGCTTTGTCCTAGGGGTACACTACACTACAATGAGAGTGTAAGTTTGAGACCCTGGTCTCTTCAGTTAGATTGCTCTGGCTCAACTCTCTCTTCTGTTATTTAAAACTCCATAATCTGAACACATTACTTAACCCATCTATGATTCTGTTTAACCATCCGTAAAATAGGAATAATAACAGTTACTGGAAATAGCTATTATGAGGATTGAATGAAGTAAGACACGAAAAAATGTCTGCCTAGTGCTGGCACATTATAAGTATAAATTAAATCTCACTATTAAGACAAGGAAGTAAATAAGAATAGCAAACAAAACTCATTATCAAAAAACAATTAGTCTGCCAATAAAATCAAGAAATATAATCCACTATAAACCATAGTGTACATCAGAGTATTCAGTGAGGTAACAACAGAGGAACAATACAAAAATCAAGACTCATTTCCTATGTTCCAGGAATCAAAAATATCTTGAGAGATATCCCATTCACAGTAACGGTTGATATTACAGAATGCAAAGGCATAAAGAAAGCCAATGTGAAATGTATGAGAACTTTATGAAGACAATCACAGAATGTTATTGAACCAACTAACAGCTATTAAGAAAGCCCTATGACACAGAAAAGGCCTTGTGAAATAGTGAACTTCTTATCACTTTTAGGGTTTGAGCAGATACTGGATGACCAGTTTCCAGGGATTTATAAAATATAAGTTTGAAATGGTCACCTCCAACCATAAGCTTCTCTGCATTCACTGTAAATGATGCTTTGTTTGGCCAGATGTGGTGGCTCACACCATGCCTCTAATCCCAGCACTTTGAAAGTCTGAGGAGGGTGGATCACGTGGTCAGGGGTTCAAGACCAGCCTGGCCAAGATAGTGAAACTCCATCTCTACTAAAAATACAAAAATTAGCAGGGCCGTGGTTGCAGGTGCCTGTAATCCCAGCTACTGAGAAGGCTGAGGCAAGGAATTCCTTGAACCTGGTAGGTGGAGGTTGCGGTGAGCAGAGATTGTACCACTGTACTCAAGCCTGGACCACCAAGCAAAACTCCATCTCAAAAAGAAAAAAAAAGAAAAAAAAAAAAAAAAAGAAAGGTGTTTTGTTCATAAGAGGACATAAATGCATTTTTCTAAAATATAAGTCACACAGACACAGGGAGGGGAATATCGTTCACCAGGGTGTTGGGGGTGGGGAACTAGGGGAGCTGTATCAGTGGGTGGGGAGATTGGGGAGTGAGAGCATTAAGGAGAAATACCTAATGTAGATGATGGGGTGATTAATGCAGCAAACCACCACCATGGCACGTGTATACTTATATAACAAGCCTACACGATCTGCACATGTACCCTAGAACACAGTATAATAAATAAATTTTTCAAAAAGATAATAAGCCAGATGATTCAATAGATTAGCAAGAGAAAGGATAAATTTTAAACAGCTTTATATAACCCTTAGATGATCTTTCTAAAAATAAATATACCTGAGGAATAAATATGTTGGTTTTCTAGAAAACAAATAGGAGGAATTACTTGTCATTAGATTTTAACTATGACCATTACTTACTAAGGGAATTTCCATCTGTTGGCTTAATATGCCTCTTTCTCTCTTGGGCATTTTTATCATCCTCTTCCTTATTTACACTTTCATCAGATCTTGTGAGAACCACAGTTTGTGTAGTAAACTTATTTAAAAACTGTGTTTCAACTGTAAATGAGAACAAGGAAAACAGATTAGACTTAAATTATTATACAACCAAACCACCCCAAATAAGAACACACACAACAACTGCTACTTGGGTTAAACTCTGCCATTTAGATTAAATAACTAGCTTAAATGTCATCTCTTCTGCACACTTTTCTGGTGTGGACTGAATTGTGTCCCCACCCCTCCAGATTCATGTGTTGAGGCCCTACTCCTAAAAGTGAATGTTCAGACTAGAAAGGGTCTTTAAGGGGGCAAAGAAGGTTAAATGAGACCATGAGAGTGGCACCCGCATCCAGTAGGACTGGTGTCCTTACAGAGAGAGGAAGAGATATCAGGAGAGCCCACACATGCAAGAAAGACCTGATGAGAAGATACCCAGTCTGCAAACCAGAGAGATCTCACCACAAATCAACTCTACCGGCCCATTAATCTTGAACTTTCGGCATTCAGGACTGTGAGAAAATAAATTTCTGTGTTTAAGCTACCCAATCTGTTATGGCAGCCCAATATACCATTCTTCGGTTGCATTCACCCACCCAATCAATTTTGTCCATCTGGGTTCTCACACAGAAATTTGCCTTTTATGCTGTTGACTCCTATGTGCCCCACTAGTAAGCAATAACCTCAAGAATTACTGCTTTATTCATGTTGATATTCATTGACTCTGTTACCTATCATAAAACTAAGATAACAGCCAGGCGCAGTGACTTACTCCTGTAATCCCAGCAGTTTGGGAGGCTGAGGCAGGCATACCATGAGGTCGGGAGATTGAGATCATCCTGGCCAACTTGGTGAAACCCCGTCTCTACTAAAAATACAAAAATTAGTTGGGCATTGTAGCGTGTGCCTGTATTCCCAGCTACTCGGGAGGCTGAGGCAGGAGAATCGCTTGAACCCAGAGGCTGAGGTTGCAGTGGGCTGAGATTGTGCCATTGCACTCCCCAGCCTGGAGACAGAGTGAGACTCCATCTTAAAAACTAAAATTCCTTCTGTATTAATAAATGCCTTCCTACAATACACAAGTTACTCTGACAATATTCAGAAGCATATTTAGTCACTCATGTGTAAGGAGATTTGGTTCAACTTGTTTTTCTCTTAAATGCCACTGAATGAAGGCTTTATTGAAGAAATGGGCCTGTTTGTTTGGGAAAGAAAAATGCTAGGTCACTTGTTAAAGTTGTGAATGTTAGGAACGTGATACTGAGGGGTAAATGTGAGAAGCGGAAGTACAGAATTCCCCTCACCATCCTGTGCTGTGTCACTCATATCTGTGGGGCTAGACAGGCTTAGCCCAAACTGAAGCACAAGATGATGCTGTTTCCTTAGTACATACTTGTCATCAAAGAGTGTCCCATTCACTTAATTAAACCAACAGTATTGATCTTCCACATTGTCTTCCATAACTTAGCTTTTTCTGTTTTTTTTTTTTTTTTTTTTTTTTTTTTTTTTTTTTTTTTTGAGAGAGAGTCTTGCTCCGTCACCAGGTGCCAGGCTGGAGTGCAGTGGCATGATCTCAGCTCACTGCAACCTCTGCCTCCTGGGTTCAAGCAATTCTCCTGCCTCAGCCTCCTGAGTAGCTGGGACTACAGGCACGCGCCACCATGCCCAGCAAATTTTTGTATTTTTAGTAGAGACGGGGTTTCACCATGTTGGCCAGGATGGTCTCGAACTCTTGACCTCGTGATCCGCCCGCCTCGGCCTCCTAAAGTGCTGGGATTACAGGCACCCGGCCAGCTTTTTCTGTTTTAATCTTTTAAAATGTTGATGCCCATCAATTTTTTTTTTTTTTTTTTTTTTTTTTGGTCCACTTTCCTCTAAATCTAAGAGTTCTCCCTGGTCAATTCTGTAACATAGCTGATGATTCTAAGAATTACATTTTCCACTTAATCCTCCTGTCTGAACTCACATGAGTATTCCATAGTAACGCTAGCTTCTGTGCATCCAGACTGAATTCATTATAATTCCCCTTCAAAACAACTTGTTTTTCTATTACATTCCATGTGTTTCTTAGTCAGCTTGAGCTGCCATATCAAAACATCACGGACTGGGAGGCTTAAACAACAGAAATTACCTTGCCATTCTGGAGGCTCAATGGTCAAAGATCAAAGTGATCAAACTGGCTGATTGAGTTTTTGGTGACAGCTCTCTTCCTGGCTTCAAGATAGCCACTTTCTTCATATGTCCATACATCACAAGCTGTCTGGCATCTCTTCACGTAAGGACATTAATTCTGTAGGACCAGGGTTGCACCCTTATAACCTCATTTAACCTTAATTACTTCCTTTCTCCAAATACAGCCACACTGGGAGTTTGGGCTTCAGCATAAAAATTTTTTGGGGGGGCGGGGGACACACTTTTGTCCATAGCAATGCAAATGCAAATTCTACACACCCATTCACTAAAATGAAACACTTAAAACTTAATGAATCTCTTTTTCTCATTATACTAATCCCAATCACTGACAAACTACTATCAATTTGCTTTTTCAGCATCTCTTTCATCATTACCTCATTTCCTATATATTTGAAATGTTTTAACTCTTCTGCCCACCTTTAGATTCACACAGTTGCTTACCCACAGGTGGTCCATCCTGCGCACTACTCCTTAAACTATCTCACATGTAAACCTTATCCTGTTTCTCTCCTACTTCAAAATTTTAAGAGAGTCTCTCTCCATGGTTTTTCTGTGATCTCACTGCTGGCTACCTCTCTAGATCCAACTCTTGTAGCAGCTCCCCTTTCTTCCTATATTTCAGGCACGCTGAACTATTCACAGGGGCGCGAAGGAGTGTTGTGATGTTGCCTGCCTCTGTCCCTTTGCTCCTGCTGCTGCTTTTACCTGAAATGCCTTTTTCTCTCCTGATCTATCAGATTCAGTTCTCATGTGTCTAGTATAGTCTAGTCAATTCCTTTTTTAAAAGTTTTTCATTATTTCTCCAGCTAGATATGATTCCCTGTGTAGTATTCCTATTAGCCCTTTTAGGAATTCTGTCAAAAGACACAGAACACCGTATTGTACTATGTAAATTACTAGTCATATTCCCTGCTACTCCACTCTACCTATTAAGTCAGAGGACATGTCTTATGTATTTCTGCATCCTCTGTATCTAGTTCAGTGCATGACACTCAATGTATGTATACTGAATAAATGCATGAGTCGAAGACAGGAACTGTGTAATTAGAATTAATTAAATGTGGCTGGGCGCAGTGGCTCATGCCTATAATCCCAGCACTTAGGGAAGCCAAGGCAGGCAGATCACCTGAGGTCGGGAGTTTGAGATCAGGCTGACCAACATGGAGAAACCCTGTGCCTATAAAAAATACAAAATTAGCCAGGCATAGTGGTGCATGCCTGTAATCAACTCAGGAGGCTTAGGCAGGAGAATCACTTGAACCCAGGAAGCAGAGGTTATGGTGAGCTGAGATCACACTACTACACTCCAGCCTGGTGACACAGCAAGACTCCATCTCAAAATAATAATAATAATAATAATAATTATTATTATTATTATTAAATGCAGCAAAAAAACCTCATAGCACAAAGTAGGAACTTTTACCATGGCATATTTTTCCATCACCATAAAATCCTTTTGGACATGAACCACAATGATAGGAACCAAAGGTATTGAGGCACTCTACTCCCGCAAAGCAAGGCTTGGAGTCACACTCATCAACGTCTTCCTGGCAATGTTTGCCTATACAAAATACAGATCAAGAGCTTAAATTATTTAATTTGAAAAACATCATATGTCCAATGGGCTCATTATATAACTTCTTCTGCTTTTTATGTCTGTCCTTCTAACCGCAAAAGAGCTGCTATACATTATGAGGACAGAAGTATGCTGTTTTTAAAACTTACTATATAATACATATAAATTTACTAATTATATTCAATTTAATATTAAACCAGACCTCTCAAGTACATAAGATTTTTTTTTTTGCAAATGAGTTAAGAATTCCATTAATATTTAAGGCAAAAAATTTCATATTACAGCAGTAATTTAAACTTTAAATATTCAGTGATTTTTAAAAGTTACTTTGGATGGTTGTCTGTTTAGCTTAAGGACAAATTGTTTAGTTATTGCCCTGGCTGAGAAAATTCATGAAAATTGTTTGTGTTACAAAAGTCAGTATGCCCTTCATAAAAGTTTTAGAGTTGACGTGGTGCTGTTTGAAATGCTGAACAACTCATCTGAATGAGTAAATTCAGTCATGTATGGATAGTAGACCTTATTATAATAAAATTTATGAGGCAATCAACATATGATTTCTTTTAAATACAGTCTACAGTGGAGTAGAAAAGAGAACTACATTCATAGTTCCAAATGATAAAATTTTTGTTTTAAAATGCTGAAGAAAATTAGAAGGCACATATATATGCTGCTTAGTTCCATTGCAATGTTAAAATAGATGTCTTCAGGAAAAATATCAGCTCAATAACTATATATTTACTTATTAAAATGTACAGCTATTAAACATAAAGAAAATATTCATATGGATTTTTAAAAAGCCATGGGAAATTAAAGGTTGGCAGTCATATATTTATTTCTATAATCACATATTTTAGGACTATTGATGAGTGAGTGATATGCTAATATTTCATTTGATTTCAGCTTTTTGCCATGATATTTCTAAGTCAATGAATTATCAGTAAAACCTCTCTGAAGTGACAACTTTTATATTTCCCCTGGCATAATTCCTTTATTTTCCCATATTATATCTTAACAGTAATACATTTCTCCCTACCAAAATAGGTAGAAATGTTTAAGAACCGGCAAAACAGGTCCCTGTGTTGCTATTACAGTTACAAACATTGGCAAAATTGTGATACTGTATGGAACTTACAATTTATAAAAACAAGGGATATCGATAGTAATTACATTTGTAATCACTTCTATTAAAATTGTAAACATTTGTACTAAAATCTTTAGGGCCACACATTTGCTTGAGTAATCTGTAGATGAATGTTTCAAGGAGCTTTTCTTTCTAATTTGTTTATGAGGAGCAAAAGCTTACCTTTGAGCTCAGGTGGACAATCACAGGAATAACTGTGAAAAACACTAATACATCGGCCAAGACCACAGGGGTTGGATTGGCACCCACTAATGTCCACGTCGCAAAGACTGCCATGGAAGCCAGGCGAGCAGACACACAGGTACACTCCACTCCCTGGAGGAGATTTCCTATCAGACACACATGATCCACCATTCAAGCAATCACAAGACTTCACAGTCACCTACAAAGGAAAAAAAAATGTCTTATTTTTCAATAAAATTATTTTCAGTTTATGCCCCAGAAATCATGACAGGCATGTGCGTTTATGTACAAGTGTGACCAAATCGCTTATATTTGCCATCGTTATCAGTTCTATTGTCATGTTAAACATATTGTAATATTAAATATATATACACACACACATACATGTAACATAAAATGGTATTAAAATAGTTTAATAAGGCAATTATGCCCACTCCCAGGTGCATAACCACAATAAAATGCTAAGGATAATTTTTCTAAAAAATATATATTATAAGAGGATCCATTTCTGTCATGCAAGTAGAACAACTTAAAAAAAAATCATTAAACTGGAAAGTAGTTAGTCACCTGGGTTATTCACAAATCTAGAGAGCAAATGATCTCCTGAATTACCAGGTTAATATGGCACAGAACACAGCTGCTCTTCCTGATATTACTTCAGTGTAAAAGTGTGTTCCCAGTTTCAAATGAATAAAGGACACATCAACAGTGTGTAAGTATTAAGTGCTCATGACTGACATAATCAAAAGAAAAAGTCGATAAAGAAAGGAGGTATAGCTGTCAATAAGTTATCTCAAGTCATATTTATAATCTTGACTTCTAATTCAACATCTCAGATCCTTTCACTTGAAGGAAAAGGGTATAATTATCAATCTTAGATTAATCACAGATCTTTCATGAAGGTGGAGTTGAATGAGTTCTTTATCCTTGTCATAGTGAAGTGTCAAATGAAATAGTATAGAAATTATTAATTTAGATCTGTGCTTCTGGGCTTGAGACTCTCTCTAAAGTTTTATATTCTTACAAAGAACAGCCAAAGTTTTAGCATTGTAATTTCCCATACAATGTTTAATAATTGTGTTGGTCTTTACAACTAGGAATATGGCTTGTATTTTAAATTCAAATAAATTCATTAAAATTGCAAAATAATCCAGTGACACTTATGTAATTACAAAGATTACCTCAATCGTGATTTTAGTTTCTGCATCACAGTCATCATTAAGGCGTAGAGTAAACTGTTGGGGAGTTAGTAACTCCGTTTTCCACATAAAAAGCCCTGCAGAGGAAATATTTGCTCCTTCAGGACCAGAGTCCAATGTAAAATGGATGTCTGAACCTTCTGGATCGAAGGCCATGAACTGATACTCAAAGTTTTCACCATAGAATGTCTGCAACTTGTCTTGCAATGCTTGAATCACTGGGGGCTGGTTGTCTGTAACAGAGAAAACACAACTTTATACCGTGTGCTTCTGAGAGCTACCGCAGAGACATGCATTTTGTTAAAGACTGAACTCTGCTAAGTTCTGTTAGCCACTTTCATTTTTTTTTTTTTTTTAACATTCTCAGTAAGTTCAACTCCATTGTTAGACATGTGAAAGTAACTGACAGGTGGGAGACCTGGAGCATTGCTACAAAAGTATGAAAAGCACTCTGGCTACAGCACAGAATATATGCATACCCACCGTCCACACTGGAGACTGCGCCTCTTCTGCCATACCTTACTTCTTGCTGTTGACTGCCTCTCTACTCTCTTTCTCTCTCTGGCTGTGAACGCTTTGCATTCTGTTTCTTTCAGCTTCACTTTCTCCCTCTACTCCCTTTCTCTATTCCTCCCTCACTGCCCATGACTGCCCTGTTTCTTTGGCTCCTCTGAATGTTTCTCTCTATACTTGCCTCCCCAGCTGTAATACGTGGGAGCCGTTAGTCATACTCATCTTCTGCTCCTCAGTGGTTCATTCAGTGGCTGAGTGAACGCACTAAAAAGGTGACTATTTCAGGCTGGGCATGGTGGCTCACACTTGTTATCCCAGCACTTTGGGAGGCCAAGGCGGACAGATCACCTGAGGTCAGAAGTTCCAGACTTGCCTGGCCACCATGGTGAACCCCTGTCTCTACTAAATACAAAAATTAGCAGGCATCATGGTGGGTACCTGTAACCCCAGCTACTCAGGAGGCTGAGGTAGGAGAATTGCTTGAACCTGGGAGTTGGAAGTTGCAGTGAGCTGAGGTCATGCCTGGGAGACAAGACTCTGCCCCCCCCACCCAAAAAAAGGGGGCTATTTTAGGGGACAGGCAGAGTTCCCTTTACACTCATGAAACAATTGAAAACCTCTTTTTACTCTTTTTATGTTGTCATATATATATAAAGTCTACCTTTCCAGCCCCCTGGCTTAACAGTTGGAACAAATAGCCCCATTGCATTGTACTGAGTACAAACACTCTGCTTGCATCCACAAAACACCAATGTCAGGAGACTGCAGTTCTGGCTCCTGCTCTGCCCCTGCATAGCCTTATACAGGCCGCCTAACTTATTGATCTTAATTTCCTCATCCTCAATATGAGAGATGTGAAAGACATGATATTTTTATGATTCTTTATGACTTTGAACACTATGAGACTATTATGAATCAAACTATAGCCATTAAAATACAGAGGCACCAATTCAGAATTTGTATTTTCATCTCTTGCACTGTATTTTTCCTCAAATTTCCATTGCCTTTCCACAGCATTCTGTGAGTCTTAACACCTAAGCAGTGAATCATCTGGCAAATGTAATGAAACAAACACAGTAATAAAATATGCACATACAATTACAATGACATTATAAAGCATTGTATAAAGTTGTATGACTCCCTTAAATAAAACTACATGGGGCCAGGGAATAATTGTGTCCTGTTGTCTCTAATAATGTCTGGTCTCCCCATGAGGAAAGAGAACTTAGACACCTATATGGAGCCAACATAGCTGTATTTATGAAAGTGAGGAAATGATACGGCATATGACCATAATTTGGGATATTGTTTGAAACAAAGTATCTCAAAATTATCTGTACACAAGAAGATACTCATCACATCACAGAATGGTAGCGCTGGAAAACACTTGATAGATTACTGAGTCCAGATACCTTGTTTAACAGGTGCTGAATCCATGGCCTTTGAGCTTAAATGTTTAATAATGTCACAAAACTGAACAGAGGTAAGGCTAAGCATAGGTAATTGTGTGCAACTGAATTAACAATTCCCATTTCTTCCATTAAGAAATCACATTTGCTTTCCTAATCAAATATTAAAATGAATATCCTATACCCTCAAAGTAAATTTTGCAAGTTAGGAGAGATGCTAAATTAAACACAGAGGTCATTCATCTTAAACACATTTATGTAGCTTCTGGCCGAAAACCACTTGAAAAAATGTGTTGTACAGGAAACATTTGAATTAATAAAGAATAACTTACTTTCTAAAAGCGACCAAGTAAATGTTGAAATTTTGGGTCTACAAACCAAACAAGGGCTGGTTGGACTTTTGTTTCCTTCAAAGTAACAGAGTCCATCAATAATGCAAACATTTTCCTAATGGAAAATTTTTAAAAAAGAAAACATCAATATAGCTATAGTTAATATACTTTAAAAATTCTACATAGAAGGATAGCAGTATATGTACTGATGATTCCAGTGAAAGCATATACATCTATTTTGAAGATGAAATATTTTTCATACTTCACAGTCATAAATGCTTATTAGAAAATAAATTACCTGAATATGCAAATATCTATAAAATTGAGCAAGTTGGAGGTACTAAAATACATATAAGTTTTATCTCTGCAATGCTATAGCTTATAATTTATAAATAATATGGGAATAAATCTCTCACTTGGTATTATCCACTGCTAAACTCATCCTGGGAGTACTTTATTCAAAATAAAATAAAACCAACTTCTCTTTTTCCTCCACAACTTATAAAATTATATTGGCTTATAGTTATCTTCCATTTTCCTAGCAGCCCACTATGTTTTCTGAACATAGCCAACTACACTGGATCCATGGCATCATTATCCACACTTGACAATGGATATCATTACACAAAACATATGAAAGAGATGCTATTAAGCACAGAAAGAACATTAAACTGGAGCAACTACTCTTGAGAGAAGACTAAATTTTATTCAGGAGATACGAACTTAGCTCATTTTACAAAAATCTCCTTTAATATCCCTTGGAAAACATAAAAGTTAGAGTGAAATAGTGCCAGGAGAAGAAAATAATCTTGAATAATAATATTTTTAAAGTACTTATGGATATATGGAAATAAAATATTTTGGAAAAAAATTAAAATCACACAATTTCTCAAAGATTTGAGAATCAGATTTGATCTGATGGCTAATCTCAAGACAAATTTTAAACTTAGAAAAAATAATGGCTTAAAAATTTTCATGAATATAAATATTATTTGTATGCAACTTAGCTTTGAAAAATCAAGTGATATTATATCCATAGTGTTTGTTAAGTCAGCAGTTCCCATGTGGGACAGCACTTTTGATAAATACTCTAGGCCGGATGTACATTAAGAAGAAGGTGACTGCAGCTCAGCTCAGGCTGTGCTGCTGTTTGGTAATCCATCAAGTGGCAGGTATTTACATGCTCCAATAAACTTAGTTGCCAGGAAATATTCCCCTTAAAAATACTAACTTTATACATTTTACAAATTTTAACCAAATGTATGTCATTTGCTGCAAAGGAGACTAGGTAACAACATGAGATATCTCATTAGAAAATCATTATTACTACTGAAAAAAACAATGCAGGTAGGAGTGAAGTAATCAATAATTCAGTATGGACTTCCTCTTATAATTTTTTAGAAGTAATCTGCCATTTCAAAATGTTAAAGGTAGAAATCTCTTCCTTGCAGGCAGAGTAACAATTTCAATTACCTAATGTAAACTTGAGGAAGGCTTTTCTGTATTAGTCTTTCTGATATAAAAGTGAAAAAACTACAATTAATGTGCCAGCAGCATAAGAAATGAAAATATCTATGATGTAAATGTGAAAATAAATGAGAGATATGCATACCTTTATAGTACATGAGTCATTTTTATAGAGACCACAAACTTGACAAGCACCATCATATATGACCATTATTTTGGGATTACTGAATCGATAACCATCATTAGATACCTGTAACATAATAGTTCTATAATGAGATGATTTCTTTAAATGTTCTGAAATGTTATATGTATTTACTTTGTTTATAAATACGAAGATGTCTTTTTGTTTTTTACCTTCAACTGCCACTTCCCAATCGGTTTCTCACCCACTAGATCTATGGTATCAAACTGCTGAACATCAATGGGCAGCTGACAATCAACAGCTCTGCTATTTTGGAAAACAGTCTTTGTATAGATGGGTTTTCCAGGCATCCATTCACTGCCATTATACTGAAGACATAGTGAGAAAGCAATTAACCTCTGTTAAATTATGGAAATATTTTGCTAGTAAATTATATATAATCAAAACATTAATTTTAAAATATATGCCTATTATAATGTAGTAAATAACAGGGAAACAAAAGTCACATTGGGAGTGAGTTTTAGTCAGAATAATGAAAAATGTACATATATTAATATGATGTAAATTGCTCCCAATAAATCATGCATTTCTTGGCGGTTCAAATCAAAGAATTTGCCAATATTGGCCATATATAATGTTACCATATTGTATATGTTACATACATGTTACAAATGTTACCATATTACATATGTTATACATACGTTACCATATTGGCCAGTATGTAATGACTTTTGTAGCAAGAGGAAACACACTTGACTATATAGTTGACACATAGTAGATTGGTTTTCTACCCAGAAATTCCTTCATCTCTCCTGCAAAAGCTTCCATCACCTACATCTACTTGAAACTGTCCTTTCTGCCCTCTACACAGTTCCCACAGGCCTCTCATATTCCTACATAACCAACCTCCCTGACCAAGCTTAACTGGTACAGGGGCTGACCTATGCTAGGCCAATATTTCAACTACTCATGATATTTTAACTTTATACCCACAAAGATGTCATGTCACTCAACCTCTGATGGCTTGAGTTGTAAGACACAAACTATGAAGTGGTTGGTGGCCATTTTTTCACTATGGAGAGAAAGCCAGTATACAGTGATATGAGAAAACAAAGCCCATAGACAAAAGTAAAATTGATACAAACACACACACACACACACACACACACACACACACACACACACACACACAAATGCACACATATTGAGTCTTCACAGTGTTCAATCCCCAAGTTCAAACTTTTCCTTGAGAATTCAGCTACATTTTTGTTCTTGATTCTCTAAGAAATATATTATCGTAACAATTATTTTTGCTCACGTTACATTATTAGTAATTTGAAACTAAATAAATTCTATCTAGTTCACCCTACTTACTAACTCAGTGACATATCATGCTTAAGCTACACTTTAAGTATTCTTTTGCAGTATTGAAAATGCATTGGTGTCAAAAGAGGAGAAGCCAAAATAATTTTCTGGGTACTGGTAACTACGTAGGAAACCAAAAGCTTTATTTTGCTGCCAAAATTTAGATTTAGATTTTTCTTTGAAACTTATGACTGTAAAATGTTTTCAACCACTCAGAATTTGTCTTGGAGCATGCTGATGCTTCAGTATTGTGGGTCAGCAGGAAAAGGAAAGGAAAACATAATTACTTTTGTCTGCAGCTAATAGAAATTACATTTTTGAAGATTTAATGATCAAAAGAGCAAGCTGCAAATCTCCATGTTTAAGCTGGTGTACAGGCTCTGGCCTGGAAGCACTATCAGTGGTTTCCCTCTTGTAGAGGAAGAATGACAATAATTTCTCAGAGTAGTCATGATCTACACTTAGGTGAATGTAGGGTCTTGGTTTTTTGTGTGGAAAGAAGACTCCAGCCAATGACTGAGAACATAGAGATTATTTTCACCTTTCTGTTTAGAGGTGCCGATCCAAAATGAGGAATATACAGGATTCTATTTCCTTTTTATTCGTCAAGATTTCATGAGTCTATATTATGTGTGGAGGATATTTCATTGTAAAAAGAGATCGCAAAGAAAATGACAAACAACATACAATTGTATTATTGCAATGAAAGAGACTCAAATAAGATACAATACAAAAGACGTTATTAAGTCTAACTAATTAGCACAGTCAAGGGCAGCTTCAAAATATCAAATACTTCTCTTCCAGAAAATAAAAAAGGAGACTGCTACTTGGACACTGAGAGCAGAAGTGGAGAGTGTGCAATTCACATGGACGGAGAGAATGGCATGAGAAAAAGACAGGCATGTATGTAGTAGCATAAACAGGAAGTTCAAGCCCGTAAATAGAGAAAAGAGTTAAATCTTAATGTGCCATTTATTTCTTGGATAACATCTTGTATTTAATCCTACAAATCAGCACCTTGAAAACTGGATTTTGTAGAGTCTCAACTGCTTTGTGGGAGGAAATGAAAGAAATGCTTGGGTGGTTGAATCTCTAGCAAAAACGTGCTTAAAACTACTAATATTTTACAAAAGAAGACATACAGGAGGCCAACAAACATATGAAAAAATGCTCATCGTCACTGGTCATCAGAAAAATGCAAATCAAAGCTACATGGAGGTACCATCTCACGCCAGTCAGAATGGCGATCATTAAAAAATCTGGAGACAACAGATGCTGGAGAGGATGTGGAGAAATAGGAACAATTTACACACTGCTGGTGTGAGTGTAAATTAGTTCAACCATTGTGGAAGACAGTGTGGCGATTCCTCAATGACCTAAAAATAGAAATTCCATTTGACCCAGCAATCCCATTACTGGGTATATATCCAAAGGATTATAAATCATTCTACTATAAGGACACGTGCACGAATGTTCATTGCAGCACTGTTTACAATAGCAAAGACCTGGAACCAACCCAAATGCCCATCGATGATAGACTGGACAGGGAAAATGTGGCACATATACACTATGGAATACTATGCAGTCATCAAAAACAATGAGTTTGTGTCCTTTGTAGGGACATGGATGAACCTGGAAACCATCACTCTCAGCAAACTGACACAAGAGCAGAAAATCAAACACCGCATGCTCTCACTCATAGACGGGTGTTGAACAATGAGAACACATGGACACAGGGAGGGGAGCACTACACACTGGGGTCGGTTGGGGGGAAATGGGGGAGGGGCGGGGGGGTGGGGAGTTGGGGAGAGATAGCACGGGGAGAAATGCCAAATACGGGTGATGGGGAGGAATGCAGCAATCACACTGCCACGAGTGTATCTACGCAACAATCTGGCATGTTCTTCACATGTACTCCAAAACCTAAAATGTAATAATAAATAAATAAATAAACAAAACTACTAATATGAAAATAGAAAAAAGCATGTAAAATATGTTACACTTTATATAAAAAAGAGTTATCTATACATTTTTTGTACCAAAGAAATATAGTAAGGATTAACCAGAAAATAATGAGTACAAACATATTTCAATGAAAAGAAGAGGTGATGGAAAACAGGTGATAGGGATGACAAGAAAGTAATAATTCTATGTGTATAGATTTTATATGGCTTCAACTCTTAGTACTATGACATTTCATATACCCTCCAAATAAGTAAATAACTAAAATCATCCAAAGTATGGAAGAAAGTAAAAAGGGAAGACAAATGTTTTAAAAACCTAATTGTATCATACATAAAACAGATAGCCACTCTAAACTGAGTAGAAAAGAAAATAGTTAATCTAAGTCACTTTGGAAAGTAGTATTTGCTTATATTTTATGACCTTGTGTCATAAATTTGTTGTTCACAGAGGAAAGGATTGGAATTTCTGAAACCGATCTACACATACACTTAGATTGAGAAACTAAGTAAATAGATTGTGGATGATGAGAGCCAATTTTTACTTGTAAAGAAAAGGGAAAGGAGAAGGCTACAGTGAAACTTATGGTACTGCAATGAAATCAGGAGTATCAGCATCAACTCACAGAGATGATAGATAGCTAAACATATGGATAGGTAGATTGCTATGTGTGTGTATGAGTGTACATATATAGATTTTCTAACTGTAGCCATTAAAAGGGTCAAGAAGCAGTAACTACCCTGTAACAAGAAGCACACCTTGCACCCAAGTCTTGGACTTTAAATGACCCTCTTTGATATAAATAAAACTAGATTCTTTAGAGAAATGGTTGACTTTAGAGTTAGAATAGAAAAAAATATGAGTCTGGAATATTATATGATGCCAGAAAGCAAGAAATTGTTCAAAAAAATATGGAAGGAAGTTAAAAGGACATGAAAACCAATTTGTAATGGCTCCCAATGGTCAAAGCTGGAATAATTTAAGCAGCCAAATAAAGAATGGAAACATTGAATTATAATTCATGAAATAAGTTTCTATTAGTCTATACTGGCATGAGTAAACAAATGAATAAATAAATCGGAAACAAGGAACAGCTCTTTCTTCCAGTAGAATTACAAATAATACATGTAGAAGAAATGATGGAAATAGAAAATCACCACTGGTAAATACCAAAGTAATAATTGCTACATGCAAAAATTATAGTTGGATACTAAAATTAGGAAAAAGTAGTCTGAGGAGCTATCATATATTTCCACAGTCTAAAAGTGTCTCCCCACAACATATTTATTATTTACAATGGGAAAAACAGGAAGCTTACAGTGAAGATACATGGCAAAAACCCCTTAAGTGATCAAAATTTACATTGCTAGTGATGAGATACATTGTATCATGAAGGTATGCACTAAGAATTGTACAACATGTTATGACCTCAATCTCACCATAAGAAAAGGAACATTACACAAAATAACTGACCAGTGCTCTTCAAAAGAATCAAGCGTGCAAAAGATAAAGAAAGATGGAGCCGTATCACAAGACTGAAGGAATATGACAACAAAATGCAATACAAAATCTTAGATTGGATCCTGAATCAGAAAAAGGGCCATTATTAGTTGGACAGCTGGCAGATTTTGAACAAGGTCTGTAAATTAGTTCATAGTATTGTATCAAGGTGAATTTTCTGGTTTAAATAATTGTTTTATGGATATGGTTTATAAATATTAACAAGAGAAACTGGGTGAAGAATTATTGGAAACTGCATTATTTTTACAATTTTTCTGTGAGTCTCAAGTTATTCCAAAAGAAAAGTTTTTAAAAATTACTTCATAAAATGGGAAGTCATTAAGGATTTTGCATGATCCGATTTCCAAAATGCTAGATTTTGAAGAGTAACCCAATTTTCAAGGGGAACTGAAATTTAACCTAAAAAGTTTAGCAGGTATAGACTCATGTTGATGCCAGGGCAAGCATAGTCCATACAAAGTGAATGCAAGGCTTTGAGCAGGGCCCGTGTTGGTGGCGTTGGGGTTCATAAAATGGTGGCACATTAAACAGTCTTGACTGAAGATATGACTCGAAGGCTAGAAAAGTCTTTAAAACTCAGCACTGGCAATACTGGTGCTAGGAGAGACAGACTTAACTTCAGGATAATGTAAAATAAAGACGGATATGCATTCTAGATTGGGTTTTGGCAAGTCAATATATTTCTTTCTACGCTTCTTGATATGGTTTAGCTCTGTGTCCCCACCCAAATCTCATCTCGAATTGTTATCTCCATGGATGGAGGGAGGGATGTAGTGGGAGTTGACTGGATCATGAAGACAGTTTCCTCCGTGCTGCTCTCATGATAGTAAGGGAACTCTCACAAGATCTTGATAGTTTAAAAGTGGCAGTTTCCCTCTTAGCTCGCTCTCACCTGCTGCCTTGCGAAGAAGGTGCCTGCCTCTGCCTTCTGCCATGATTGTATGTTTCCTGGGGTCTTCCTAGCCATGCGGAACTGTGAGCCAATTAGACCTATTTTCTTTATAAATTACCCAGTTTCAGGTAGTAACTTTATAGCACTGTGAAAATGGATGAATACAGTTCTGTACAGTGTGTTAGAGGATTCCAGATTTTACTCTGTATTTATCACAAGTTTGGAGGAAGTGGGAGGAAGCATGAGAGTAAATCACAACAAATAATGCATCTGAAAGTAAGTACAAGATGTGCTTTTCAAAAGAATATAAATCTAAAAAATTTTCTCCTGACAAATCACTTAATTTTCATGTGATGTCATATGATTTATTCTGCCAAGACTAATATAATGTCTATTCTCTTATGTGATATTAAAATTACTTACATGTACCTTTCTATTATGTCTTATTACTTCATTGGGATTAAAATATTTCATGGCTTATTGAGAAAGGCTCTACCCATAAAATCCTGAAGTCAGCATACTTGTGTTTAACTATTTGATAAAGACACAAAGAAATCTATTTCCTCCTGTAAATTCTCAATTTCAGAAACACATTTGGCTTCATCAATTTAGAGAAAAATTAAGAAGAATATTAAAATACGATTTGCCATTTTAAGCTCTCTACTTACTGACATATACTTTTGAAATTTAAAGAGTTATCCTTAAAATAAAATTTCCATTTGAATGAAGACAAGGAAGACCATTTAAATAATAATCAAAACTAAGATATAATTTGATATACTAATGTTCAAACTGATCATATCTGTTTCTGTGGCCTTAAGATAAATACTAATTTTTTTGGAGGTGGTTATTTTCTGTCTAAAACCCATAGTAAAAACATATAAAGAATAAATACAATCAGTTCTCATTTTTTGGTTTGTAAAAGAGAAATGTTCACATCTAGTTTATGCAGGATGTCTTAGCTAAAAACAATCTCTATTCTTTATGTTTTCATATTTCAAGAAATACAGAGGCTGACATAAATCAACCTTGATATTCTTTTAGCTTTTTAACATAAGTGAAAACAGTGACCTGATACTTCAATAAAATGTTTATAAGATATTTTAATAAAGTTAACAAAGAAGCATCAACATTATGTAACTTACTCATTGTCCTGTTCAGCTCTCTGTGGATGTATCATCTTTTGGATTTATGTTGCTAATTGATAGACCATACTAATCCAAGATAATATTAATCTGAGTATCTCAGCTCTGTCTACATACCTGTAGCTTAGTAACTTCACATTTAGTTGAAGGTAATTCTTTGAAGCCTTTTCCAAAGACTCTCACCATCATACAATCATACTTTTGAACATCACAGAATCCAGCATTCCCAAGCTCTGTAATTTCAGGAGGTTTGTCTTTGGAAAATATATATAACAAATATTATATAATTTCTTTAATTTCAGAAAAAAAACTAATTGTTTCAAAGCCCCAAATTAAAAGCATATGGAAAATAATATTTTAAAGTATACCTAAAATGTTATTTACACTAATTAATCCATTAAATATTAAGAGTAATCTGGTATTAGAAGAGGTACTACCATCAAGTCAGTAATAATATATTACAGACACTACCAGTCCTAAATACACAGCTTCACTAATGTTTAATAATATTTAATATCAATTAAGGACAAGTATTATGAAATTACCACTACAGTAAAGTACATTTTGGTTTTGCCATATGAACAACTGAGCCATATAGCTGGGTTATAGAAAAAACGCTTCTATAATAAAATACAGTAGTTGGTAATACAATGTATTAAAATTTCAAAACGTTATCTGTATCAGTAACATCTAGCTGTCAAAATGGATATAAGCAGTGTGTAAAAGTTACTAAACCTTTTGCCTAAGTACTGGGAAAACCTAAGTGAATACAACTTTACTAGCAGTAGGGTAGAAAATCATGTGTAATTCAGAACCCTAAAAATCGTGATGAAAATTTTTTAAAACCATGGGTTACTTCAGTTCATACTTTTACCAATTCAACAAATGTTTCACAATTTTTATTTATCTGTTGTTATTCTAGGCACTAGTGATGTAGTAATGAACAAAACAAAGTTTCTGCCGTCACGTAATTTACATCCTAGCATGGGAGGATAAAAAACAAATGAGTAAAAAGATAAGTATAAAATAGAGTACATAATTATTTTCAGGAATATAAAAAAAAGTATATTAACTATATTTTAAGGGAGATTAAGATCATGGAATTGTGTGAGAAAAACAACTCTCTTTTGAATGACCACAGAAGATTTTCTGATAATATGACATTTGAACAGAGAAATAAAGTCAGTCAGTCATAAAGATCTGTGGTGGGAGAATGCTCTGGTGAGAGGGAGTAGAATATGCCACAGGCCCTGGGGTGGGAGCAGGCCTGGCTCCTCTGAGGAACAGCACAGCTGCCAGTGTGGCTGACGAGCTCTAGATGAATTCAGTGGGAAAGAAACTTCAGACCACTTAGGGTCTTCTACGCCATGGTAGGGACTGTGAACCTTACTCAAAAGGAGATGAAGAACCATTTGAGCTATGTAAACACAGAAGCAATATGATCTCACTCACATTTCAGTGGGGTCGCTTTGGCTGCTGCTACACAGAAAATAAGTTTTGGGAGAATCTATGATGATCCGGGGAAAATAATGGTGGCCTGGACTACGGTTGTAGCAAGGAAAGAAATGAAATGCTTTTAAGCTGAAGCTGGATTTGCTGCTAATGAATTAAACTTGAGGCATGAAGGAAAAGGAGATTAAAAAATGACTACAAGTTTTTAATGTGAATAATAGGAATGAAGATTGCATTTACTAAGAAGGAAAAGGTTGTACGTGGAATAGGGCAAGATGGTAATATTGAGAGGGAAAATCAGGAGTTACTGATTTACTTATTTAAAAAAAACCAAACCTTTTACAGTTTATTTGTCTAACATATTAAGACAAAACAGTTTGTACTCTATAGATAGATGCATTAGAGAAAAAGAGTTTTAAGCAAATTAGCGTAACTAGCAAAACAATATAAACTCAGTGCTTTAAAAATACTAAATTTGAGTTCTGAGAAAATAATGATTCTTTACATGTAGAGGGCACAGTTGTGTGCAAAGGCCCTGAGGTCAAATGAACTTGGCATTTTCAAGGGACAGTTTAGAGACCAAAGGGGCTGGAGTGGAAACGACAGGGTGACAGTAGCAGGGAACGAGTTTAGAGGAACACTGTGTGCCAGATCACACTGTGCCTTCTGAGCTGTAATAAGTAACTTCGGCTTTTATTCCAAATAAGATGAGATGCCATTGGAAAATTAGTAGTGTATGAATTAATATGATTTGGAATAATATAAAATCTGAGTAAACACTGTTAATATACTGAGGGTGAAATAAAGATTTAAGACTTTTTATAATCAAATGTCATATGCAATGTCAAACTTAGTATTTGCTTACCTTCAGAATCACTGCAATCATAAGAACTAAAGTTTGGGGAACACACACACCCCCATTCCATACACTGCCCGTTGCCGCTGCATAAATTGGGGCATTTTAATACTAAGAGAATGTCTTCAATTGACGTGCCATACTGTTCTGTGTTATATTTCCCCTCCTCCACAATCCTCTTTTCACATTCATTTTCTAACAGGGCCACACCTGCTTCTGCCCAGCTAAGATCATCTTTTAACAGAACGTCCTTCACACACATATCTATAACACTGTCTAGTCTCTTGCCAAGAAAAGCAACACAGAGTCTTCCTATGCTGGAGTTGGCAAGAGTCTGCTGACAGAGGTTCAAGGTGCTGTATTCAGTGAGGCCAGAGGGTGTGGGCCAGGAGGGGACAAACTCTTGCTGTACATCCTCAGCATGGTCCTCTGGGAAAAAGTAAGTAAGTTCTTCCAGATCCGTTTGGCTGAGACTCAGGAAAGCAAACAAAGGAAGAAACTGATAAAAGTTCTGTCGTTTCCGTCTGTTTGGTTGATTCCACCTCATTTCTTGGCTCTGGCTTTCTTGACCTTCTGTATATCTCTTATTGTCCAAATATTTTAGTGTATCTTGTTTCTCATTTCCAGGATGTTTTTGTACATTTAAGTCTAGTTTGGTGAGGTTTATATGTTTTTTTCCTTGGGGAAAGAAATTTAAATTATATTCTTCTTGAGATGTATACTTGTTCATCTCTCCAACAAGTGTGTCTGAATTAATATATTCAGAGGTGATATCTAGTTCTGGTATCAAAGAAGATAACCTGACATGATTGAGGTCTTTGCAACCCGAAGCAATTTCTGATTGAGAAACACTGTCCAGATCATCAGAAGACGGATACAGTGAAGCAGTGTCCAACGAACAGCTACAATAGGATGGCTTTTCAGGTGACGTCATAGAAATTGGCGGTATGTCAAACATGCTTTTTCCTGGTAAAATCCTTCCAGACGGAAAACAGGAAAGAATAGTAATTTGTTCATAAACATTTTTTCCTAATACGTGTTGCAAAAAAGCAAGGTGTTGAGTCAAACCCATTTTAAGTCTAATATTAATACAATCACAAGTGGAAAAATAGTGTCTTACCTCCATTCATTAATAAAAGCAACATATTTGTTAAATTTTTCATCAATTTGGATCCCATTTTTGTCATGGAAATCATTCTCTGGGTTTTCATCAAAAGTTCCACAAAGTCCCAGAGTGTTTCTGTAATCTACACCAGGGGCTCTGAGCGTTAGACTCATGCCCCATTCACTAAGATCGGCACGGATGAATGCCCCAGAAGAAAACCAGATCTGAAATACAGAAATGCACAGTACAGAAATAAAAGACGTTGAAGAAATATTCAATCTGGATTAAGAAAAATCTATGATATAAAAAATAAGAACTAGTTATTTCTTCAATATAAAAAGAGACTAAAATACTGATTTTTCTGGCTACAACTTTCCTCTTAATGTTCTATGTCAAAATAACGGGTTTTTGCATTTTGCTAACCTGAAATTTGATAACCATACTGATCTTTTTATTGAAATATATTGCTTGCAACCTCTTTCTTTAAATAATTATAACTAAAATTAGATCATTTATACAATTAATACCATTACAAATCTTGAGGAGGATATTTACCAAGTAATGTTTCTGATAATTATTTAATACAGAATTAGATTGCCAAGTAATTAATTTACACAGATGAATATAATTTCAGAGGAGTACATATTTCTATGGCTAATTAGCATTCTTATGCTGCCAGTAGGCAAACAGAATCAGAAACTCAATTATAACTAGAAGGTAGCTTGCGGAGCTGGCAATCTGAGCAAGGAGAGTGTGCTCAATGACCCAAATAGCCTGTGTAATCTAACTGTGAACCACCTCTCCCATCACAGGAATTACCTCTTCCAGACCAGCTACTTTGATGTACTTTGTATGTGGAGAACCTATCTCTTTTAAAAATCACTGAAGATACACTACTGTCTTTGTTATTCTAGTTGTTTTTTTCCTTTTTAAATTTCTTAAAATTTAAAAATAGATATTTTTTCCTTTTTACAAAAATGGTATGTGTTACTTGCATTAAAGTATTTTAAAAACAAACAATTTTACATTCCAAGCCAACTTAAGGTAGCTAATATTAAGATCTTGGTACAAATTCTTCAAAACCTATTTTACATTTCAGGCGTATATTTGCCTGTCAATAAACACACACACCTACTCCATCATTTTCCTGACTACAAAGTGTTCTATTATATTAAACATGTTTATTGGTCACTAATTGTAACTTTTTCCTCTTACTAGGAAAGATACATAAACATTTTGGGGGTATGCACATCCTAAACTATTTTTTACAATGAGTTTTCAAAAGTAAAATTTAACGGCAAAATAGCACACATAGGTGCAGGTTATATGTGTTCCCAGGAAAGACTGTTTCTAAATGTACTATCTCTACTCTTGCTGTTATTGTATGAGAGATGTTCGATCTTCATGTATTTATCTATCTGACTGCTAATGAGGCTAAAGTTTTCATATTTTTGTTGTTTTTATTTTGTAATTTTGAACATATTGTTTTATTTCTTTTGTGAAAAGGCTTTTTATATTATTTGTTCATTTTAATTGGAGTGCTGATAATACATTTGTGATACATGAGTGTTTTTTATCTGACCTACATTTTATGGGTAGCAAATATTTTCCCAATTTTTGATTTGCATTTTGGTTTTCAGTGATGAAATTCAAATGCATAATGTTATTTTCAAAAATGATTATTTACATCAATAAATATTATACAAATATACACTTAAATTTTTAGTACTTTATTCAAATTTAAACTTGAGTATAGTTGGAATTATACTTGTTTAAAAGGTGTGTGGAAGGTGGCCATGACCTGAAAATACAAATAGCTTACTCACAGACATGAAAGATCATCTTTAGAAAAAATTAGCTTGCAGGAATAAAGAAAAAAGAATTAAAAATATTAGTATGTTGGCTCACACCTGTAATCCCAGCAATTTGGGATTCTGAGGCAGGTGGATCACCTGAGATCAGAGTTCAACACCAGCCTGACCAACATGGAGAAACCCCATCTCTACTAAAAATACACAGTTAGTCAGGCGTGTTGACGCATGCCTCTAATCCCAGCTACTTGGGAGGCTGAGGCAGAAGAACCACTTGAATCTGGGAGGTAAAGGTGGCAGTGAGTCAAGATCATGCCATTGCACTCCATCCTGGGCAACAAGAGCGAAACTCTGTCTCAAAAACATATATATATATATATATATATATATATATATATATATGTAAATACATATGTAAATAGATATATGTGAATATATAATCTTAGGTTTGTTTCCTGACTCCATATTCTATTACACTTATCTTCCGGCCCATTCCTGAGGTAGTACCACACTGTATTCATTTCAAAAACTGATTGATTATTCCTAAATATTTATTCTTAATTATGTCTATCATCTCTGTCTAATATACTATTTATCACACATTGTCAAAAATAATTTTGGTGAATAATCCACCAAGTTGTCATACTGAAATCTTAAATAAGGCAGTTTAAATTTTACATGATTTTAATTATATTGTGTCTATTTGTGTGTGGTGGGGGGGATGTATTCCTTCTAAGATGATAGTTAATATAAATGCTATTTTGTTAAAGAAACTAATATTGAAAAAGAATAGCTCCTAATTTAATAGAGATGAATAGATATATATCTGAAAGGAGAAAAAGGAAAAATACTTCTAATGTTAAAGAATCATACATACTGTGACTTTTCTTCCTAAGTAAGATTCACTTATCTTGATATTCCTGGTTACATCTTGGCTTTTTACGAGTACATATGGTTGTGATTCATGTAGCTGACCACTGCACATATCAAAAGTAACGATATCACCTCCTTCTTGGGCAACAAATCCACAATTACATGACACTGGGTAGTGAAGGCTTCCGCAGTCCCATTGACGTACGTGGACTTCAAAATCACGTGATGTACTCTTATAAAGCACAAACGTTCCAGTCTTGAAATGATCATATACCCTATCATTAACAAAAGACAACTGCGTTAAAAATCATGTAAATTATCACAACAGTATGTTACTTATTTGCAACAGCTTTCTGTATGATGAGCATTTTTTTTTTAATACACTGAAGGAAACAAAGTTGCCATAAACACCTCAATCTCTTCCACTACTCCTTTCTTCCCTTTCACCACTCCAGTCAAGCTGCTCTCCTTGAGCAGGGCAGGCTGACTGAATGGTCTTCTCCCACTAAGTGTACAAATGTGGCTATCTCCTTCAGCTTTACATACTTGTTAAATGGCACTCTCACCAAATGGCTTTTTGTAGCTACCCTAATATAAATTGCAGCCTCTCTTTTCAGCCTTCCCTTTCCACCCAAGTTAGTGTTCTTCACAGCAAGTATCTTCCTCAGATACCTTTTATATTTTACTTATTAAATGTGTTTATATCTCTATTCATCTTTTCAAAAGCCAGCTCCACATGGGTAAAGAGTGTTTGTTTTGTTCACTGCCATGCCCCCAGTACTTAGAACTTGGCTTTTCACCTAGTTGTTGCATAATTAATCTTGTTGAGTTATCAGATTAAATTCATCACTACTGTGCTTTCTCAAGGTTTTTCCACCAAAACATCTAAGCCTTTAGTTGTAACCATAAAGGATTCTTGCACCTGAGGTCAGTTCCTTCAGGTTCTTAACACCTGTTGACACCATTGGAGTATAATTTTTTTATAGAACATTTTCTACATGTCAAATAATTTTACTGACAATGATCATATTACAATTTTTTAAAAAACCATCAAACCATCAAACCACAAACCATCTTGCATTATGAAAAGAGTTGATGCAACACTAAGACATTCTTATCACTTTCCTTAAGGACATCTCAGAATCATGAATCTCCCGGGATAATGTAACTGAGTTTAAACCTTCTATGTAGATATTAATAACAAAATAGCTTAGATTATTTTTTGGTCTTTTGCTCATTTTAAATTCCAGAGGCAAATATCCAGGTATCTGTAATAGTTATAATAGATGTTTCCTGAGTATTCTTGTCAAGACTTGGAAGTAATTACTTTTAAAAATAATTCTAATATGTTTAATCATTTTGCATAAATTTAAAGATTGTTTTATTCTCATATGTAAATGTTCTAAACATCTTTAGAGCAAATAATTTAATCATTATTAAAAATTTAAAATGGGTCAAGGAAAAAAATGTCTGCATTTGTAATAATCTTTATTTTTAAAAGTTTGACCTTGCAATGAATCATGTTTTTTACTAAGAACTAGATTTTAAGGCCAAGAAATTCTACATAAACTATTCTCTTGAAACAAGCCAGTAATGCCTTTCTGTCTAATTTCAGTGATGAGAACTAAAAAATTATAAAACAATATGCTGTTTAAAATAAAACAATAAAATCAAAGCAAACAAAAGTACTAAAAGAAAAAACTTTCAGAAAATTACCTGCCATCAAATGTAATTATATGTGGGTCAGTAAATGAATAGCAGTAAGCAGTTGGGACATCCTTTACTCTGATCTTAAAAGCAAAGATATTTTTGGTAAATATTACCATTAATTATATTTAGTTATATATTTAAAAATTGCTTAGCAATCTCAACAAATTTTTAATTAATTATTGTTTTATCATAATTATTGAAAATGGATTTAAAAACTTATTTACCAAAAATTTTTTTACATAAAAAGTTTGTGAGACATAATGATAAAATACACATTTCTTTTTAAAGCTTCAATTGCAGTAATATCTTTGTGATTTGTCAACCTGGATGCTGTCTGGGGTGTAGCTGTTCCACAGGAAATCCTCATTAACTATTGGTTGCACTACAATGCTTGTAACTCTATCTCCATCTCGAGAGAAATCTGTGACAGCAGTGTAGTACACAAAAGTATGGCTACAGGTTCCATTAGCACAGGAAGATGTCTGGTGAAGGTCCATATGACAGGAAGACAGTGCCAAATTTAAGCCTAGGTGCTCTTTACCTATTTAATGAAAAAATAGGTTTAAAATTTTCCAAGGGAATAGACTCACCAAGCATATAACAAATTAATTAACATGAAATACTAAATTGTAAGATTATTCTCAAATTATGTTCTCTTTCTTAAAATATATGGTGGCAAATGTTGTTTAAATTAACCCAAAGCTATTGAATCTACAGAATTTTTCTTTTACATATTACATAGCACATGTTACCATTTTACATATAACATACACTAATATGTTTTTTTTTTTTTGTCTAAGATTTGTACCTTGGGCCCAGATACTTCTGTAATATTTCTTAGCATAGGTATTCATGTTCCATCCATTGTTGAATAGTACCAATGGCTTTTAATTATTGATAAAGGGTTTATCATCTCAAAAAAAAGAGAGAAAAATCAAAACAAATGAAGATGATCTCACAACAGCAACAAGCTATCTTTTCTCACCTCCCAAATGTCCCAGTATATTCACAACCTTGAGATGCTCCCTCACTTCAATAACAAAAAATAAAAAATAATTTGGAAAGGAAATGATAACAAAAAAAGAGAAAGGAACTCTAAAAAATTACATAACTAAACATAAAGAACAGATTTGCCCCCAAAATTGGCCACAGAGGAAATACCCTATCATATCTAATTAATGGTTCCAAAGTCCTCCTAAAAATCAAAAATGAAAAAAAGTTGTCAAAAAAAATTCTATCTTCTTTTTTCCCATACAGATATTTTAGGTATGAAATTATATTAATCAAATATAGGCACACTGAGCTATTTTTTATAAATATATACTTTTCCCATGGACATAAAAAACAACAGAAACATTCAGACTGTAAACCAACTTCCAAAGGGAAATAGAGAATATTTCTAGATTAGATATAACCCATAACATCAATTCCCCAAGACAATACATGATGGGTTGTGGGTTGTTCTCTTTAAACCTGTGAATAGCAACATAGTCTGTTTAGAAATACACTCAGACACCAACTGGTTCCCTATGAAAGCAAAGATTTAATGCTACTCTACTTAAAGATGACAAGATGAGGAGTATCCAGAATGAAATCCAGATTTTTTTCTTCAGAAAAAAAAAGCCATTTTAAATTATCAGAGAATAAGAATATGCACACAAACTTCTAAAATGTAGAAATATATTTAGGCCATTATATTATTTTAGCAATGCCTGCTTTGTTGAAATAATTTAAAGCATGGAAATATATTTTAAAGTATACCTGTAACTGAAGGAAATGTAACATGATTTTGGAAAACATCAATAACAATCATCTTCTTTCTGTTGCCTCCATAAACTATAGTAATATTTGCATAACATGCTTTTCAGAGGTAGCTTGAAGTAGAATTGTATCAAATAGATCGAGAGAGGGTATAGTATCTGGGCTCTAATTCAAAATATAGTGTTGCTTGTGGGCTCCTGAAATCTGAATGAATAAGTAGGTATTGTCTGAGCCTGTTAAGTGTCAACCATCCTGAGACGACCTCTCTTAATTCCTCTTCAGCCATCTCTTTTCTTGAATGCACCATTTCTCTCTCCTGGCTTTTATATTCTTGTTTCTCTGATTTAATTATTTACAATATGGACATGAAGTTCTACAGACACCTTGTGAGTGGTATATTTACTAAAGACAATGTTATGTTTTATGGTGAAAATGTATGTAGTATGTCAAATTGTAATCTCTCTTAAAGGTGGTATTTTAATTTATGTATCTGTTACTTGCTTTGATCTCTGCATCCGAGGCTCACTGGGAAAAAGAGCACAACCAAGCCAGTCACTGCTATTCATGGTTGTGCTTGCATATTCTACCTTGTTACGTGGGAGGATTTACTCACTCTATCCATCAACACATAGTTGGCCATGTATCACAATAGCCACATAATTAGTAATTGAAATAGAAGAATTTTAAGACACAAGATCCCAAACATAAACTTCCATTAGGGAGAGAAGCTTGAAGGATGCATTATAAGATCTGTATTTCATAAGCTTGAACTTTTAATGTAATTTATCAAATGTCCCTCATTGGGGATGATTTGAAAAATCTTAAAGAGGAGTGTTTCCCTCAATTTCTGTAAACTAAGCAAACAGAGGAATAAACAGGAGACTGAGAAAACATAGGAGAAAAACGAAGATGGAGAAGAGAAAGATGATGTTGAAGAGGAGATTATTCACTATGGTTTTTTTCCTTTTTTTAATGTATGCTTTGAGCCCAACAAAAAGAAATGTAAATTGCTTTGGCAATCATCAATTGTGCCCAGTATTAGTAATATGATTGAGCTAAAATTTGATGTCAACATGCAACATGATTTATTATATGAGTACACCCCGGTGACTTTTCTTACAGGAAAAAAAAATTATTGTTTGAAATCTAATAATAAGATTAAATGAAGTTAGTATATTACCTTGATCAATAGTTTTCAGTTTTAATGAGATTTTACATTCTTGATCAAGCTCACTAAATTCAGAACAAATGATAGGAACTGTGCTTTCTATCCTCAGGTAGTATTCTTTGCCATCCTCTGATATAGTGTTCAATTCAGGCTGTAGCTGGTATGAGAAAATATGTAGAAAAGTTATGTTAAAATATAACATTTCTAAGGCATAATTTTGAAAGGGTATTTTCCCGACAGCACGTGTTTTGCTTAAATAGCTGGTACTAACTTAAGCCTTGGAATGTTTTAACTAAGCAGGACCCTTAAAATCAAACCCATAAAAATACAAGCAGCACACACAGGAGTACACGGAGTTGCTGCACTGCTCTGAGTTTAGATTCAATTTGGTTCCCAACACGTGTTTGGCAAATCATATCCAAGCCTGCCTCAATGATTCCGGTTCTGTGGTGAGCACCGGAAAGCAAAGGAGAAATAAATATTTCTATTTTCTTCCATTTTATGCTAATGTTTACTGACATACAAACTGAAGAGTTTCGTTTTTCTTAGGGATTAATACTCACCTTCTCAATTAGAAATTTAAGTATTTTTAATATATAAATCTAATTACTGTTACCTGAAATATCTCAACACTTAGCCTATTTCTCAGCATCTGATTTCCTGAGTACTGCTGCAACCCAGGTCTGGCCCTATTCTCATTCACAGGCCAATCCTCTTCTGAGGCAGGAATATTTTCATGCAGTCTCAAGTCTTGGCTAGCTCTCAAACAGATGTTTTGGCGGGCTGCGGTGGCTCACACCTGTAATCCCAGCACTTTGGGAGGCCAAGGGGAGTGGATCATGAGATCAGTAGATACAGACCATCCTGGACAACACAGTGAAACCCCATCTCTACTAAAAATATAAAAAATTAGCCAAGTGGTGGTGTGCCCCTGTAGTCCCAGCTACTCAGGAGGCTGAAGCAGGAGAATCGCTTGAACACGGGAAGTGGAGGTTGCAGTGAGCAGAGATAGCACTACTGCACTCCCGCGTCAGCAATAGATAAGGACTCTGTCTCAGAAAGAAAAAAAAAAAAAAAGAAAAAAAAAAAAAAACAGAAAGAAACGAAAAAGAAAAATCTGAGTACTGAATATTCTCCCTGTTAGCCTAATCAGAAACAGTATGGGGATGGGGGTGCTGACCATTGACACCTGACATTGTCTGCTGAGTGCTAACTGACGTAGAACAAAATGTTCCTGTGTCCCCAAGGACTGACCTCTACTTTCCCTCACACTGTAGTCACACAATTCTCACTTCTTCTCCTGGTTCTTAATGTGTGTGCATGGACTTTATTCATCAACACGGTTTATCCTGGTCCTGAGGCCTATTTTCACAACCTTATCATTTATCTTACCTTGCCCTTGAACTAGAAATGAGTCCAGGTCAAACTCGAGTCCTGTGGGTGAGACCTTCCAGGTCCACAGGGCTTGCCTGCCTGGACCTTTTCATATTGCCCGTACTCCTTCCACCACGTAGTAATTCCCTGCCACTTCTGCTCATCTGCTAGAACAGCTCTTCAGTTCTTGGATTCTGGTGCTACTGGCAACAACCAAATGTACTTCTCTGTTTAGGTAGCTCAGTCTTTGAGAGGGAAGGTGTTCTCTTTCCCAATACATGATGGGGCATAGTTTTAAGGGCAAGATTTCCCTACACCATGCCCCTCTCCCATCCCTCTCCACCTGGGAAATTTAACGGTTTATGTTTGAATTTTTCGGGCACAGGAAGAAACTAAGTCAATCACTCCAGCGGAAGTTCTAATGAACTCCTTTCATTGGCCAGAGAAACTTGGGAAGGTGGGAATCTCTCCCAGGAAAAATTCCTCTGCTCCTTCACTCACACCGGATTTCCAGCTTTCTGGAATCTCCTCCCACATTGGGGGGGCTCCCTTTCCCCTCTGGAATTTCCCCTCTGGAATCCCCTTCCACAATCTTTGTGGAAGTCTTTCTATTCTTCTCCTTTCCTTCTCTTTTCTCTACTTAAATAAAATCAACTTTCTGCAACACTTCTTGGGTCCGAGATTTACTTTTACGAGCATAAGCGCACCTGCAGTGGTCCCATTGCTTATTCTTTTTTTTTTTTTTTTTTTTTAATTGCATTTTAGGTTTTGCGCAGCTTATTCTCTAAGAAGTTGGAGACGAAGAACACACAGCATTCTCTCAGGGGTGCTGTGCCTCACCAGCACCCAAGAAAAACCCCAGTTACATTTGCAGTCCTTAAAACTCAGAGCTCTGGGTCAATTCTATGCTAGTCAGAGACTCTACCTCTTGTCCTGGTATCTGTCTTCCAAAGTGCATAACTAAATATTACTGGGCTAATTTTAATTACATGATGGAATGAATTAGAGGAATAGACCTTTTGCTTTATTCTAATTTGAGCTATTTCTTTAAATGAAAGTACATCTCAACTTTAGTTAGCAAGGGTCCTCAAACTGTGTTGTGCATTAGAATCACTGCAGGTTTTCTTCAAATATAAACTCATGGATCTCAACATTTTGATTCAGTCTGTGATGGGGTACAGAAATCAGCATGGACAGATCATAGTTTGGGAAAAATAGTTCCAGAAGAATAATCTTTCTGATGCATCCCCACTGCTACGTACCTTAATGCCTGCAAAAAATTCTTGGCTTTCAATGGCTATACTTTGTACATCTGGATTCTCCAAGAAAAAAACAGAAGCGCGACAGAGTATCTATGGATATAATTAAAAAATATTCACTAAGCAATTCGATTTTGGAGAAAAGATGTAAATTATCATTTTTTTTTTTATTGCATTTTAGGTTTTGGGGTACATGTGATGAACATGCAAGATTGTTGCATAGGTACACACATGGCAGTGTGCTTTGCTGCCTTCCGTCCCCTCACCTGTATCTGTCATTTCTCCCCATGCTATCTCTTCCCACCTCCCCACCCCCCGCCCCTCCCCCATTTCCCCCCAACAGACCCCAGTGTGTAGTGCTCCCCTCCCTGTGTCCATGTGTTCTCATTGTTCAACACCCGCCTATGAGCGAGAATATACGGTGTTTGATTTTCTGCTCTTGTGTCAGTTTGCTGAGAATGATGGTTTCCAGGTTCATCCATGTCCCTATAAAGGACGTGAACTCATCGTTTTTGATGGCTGCATAATATTCCATGGTGTATATGTACCACATTTTCCCTATCCAGTCTATCATCGTTGGGCATTTGGGTTGGTTCCAGGTCTTTGCTATTGTAAACAGTGCTGCAATGAACATTCGTGTGCACGTGTCCTTGTAGTAGAATGATTTATAATCCTTTGGATATATACCCAGTAATGGGATTGCTGGGTCAAATGGGATTTCTATTTTTAGGTCCTTGAGGAATCGCCACACTGTCTTCCACAATGGTTGAATTAATTTACATTCCCACCAACAGTGTAAAAGTGTTCCTATTTCTCCACATCCTCTCCAGCATCTGTTGTTTCCCGATTTTTTAATGATCGCCATTCTAACTGGTGTGAGATGGTATCTCAATGTGGTTTTGATTTGCATTTCTCTGATGACCAGTGATGATGAGCATTTTTTCATATGTTTGTTGGCCTCCTGTATGTCTTCTTTTGTAAAGTATCTGTTCATATCCTTTGCCCATTTTTGAATGGGCTTGTTTGTTTTTTTCTTGTAGATCTGCTTTAGTTCTTTGTAAATTCTGGATATCAGCCCCTTGTCAGATGGGTAGGCTGCAAAAATTTTTTCCCATTCTGTTGGTTGCCGATTCACTCTACTGACTGTTTCTTTTGCCGTGCAGAAGCTGTGGAGTTTGATTAGGTCCCATTTGTCTATTTTGGCTTTTGTTGCCATTGCTTTTGGCGTTTTGGTCATGAAGTCCTTGCCTACACCTATGTCCTGAATGGTTTTGCCTAGATTTTCTTCTAAGGTTTTTATGGTATTAGGTCTGATGTTTAAGTCTTTAATCCATCTGGAGTTAATTTTGGTGTAAGGTGTCAGGAAGGGGTCCTGTTTCTGCTTTCTGCACATGGCTAGCCAGTTTTCCCAACACCATTTATTAAACAGGGAGTCCTTTCCCCATTGCTCATTTTTGTCAGGTTTGTCGAAGATCAGATGGTTGTGGGTATGTTGTATTTCCCGTGAGGCCTCTGTTCTGTTCCATTGGTCTATATCTCTGTTTTGGTACCAGTACCATGCTGTTTTGATTACTGTAGCCTTGTAGTATAGTTTGAAGTCCGGTAGTGTGATGCCTCCCGCTTTGTTCTTTTTGCTTAGAATTGACTTGGCTATGCGGGCTCTCTTTTGGTTCCATATGAAGTTTAAGGTGTTTTTTTCCAGTTCTGTGAAGAAGGTCATTGGTAGCTTGATGGGAATAGCGTTGAATCTGTAAATTACTTTGGGCAGTATGGCCATTTTCACGATGTTGATTCTTCCTAACCATGAACATTGAATGTTTCTCCATCTGTTTGTATCCTCTCTTATTTCGTTGAGCAATGGCTTGTAGTTCTCCTTGAAGAGGTCCTTTACGTTCCTTGTTAGTTGTATTCCTAGGTACTTTATTCTCTTTGTAGCAATTGTGAATGGCAGTTCGTTCTTGATTTGGCTCTCTTGAAGTCTATTACTGGTGTATAGGAATGCTTGTGATTTTTGCACGTTGATTTTGTATCCTGAGACTTTGCTGAAGTTGTTTATCAGTTTCAGGAGATTTTGGGCTGAGATGATGGGGTCTTCCAGATATACAATCATGTCATCTGCAAATAGAGACAATTTGATTTCCTCCTTTCCAATTTGGATACCCTTTATTTCTTTTTCTTGCCTGATTGCTCTGGCTAGAACTTCCAGTACTATATTGAATAGGAGTGGTGAGAGAGGGCATCCTTGTCTAGTGCCAGATTTCAATGGGAATGCTTCCAGTTTTTGCCCATTCAGTATGATATTGGCTGTTGGTTTGTCGTAAATAGCTTTTATTGTTTTGAGATACGTTCCGTCAATACCTAGTTTATTGAGGGTTTTTAGCATAAAGCGTTGTTGAATTTTGTCAAAAGCCTTCTCTGCATCAATCGAGATAATCATGTGGTTTTTGTCTTTGGTTCTGTTTATGTGGTGAATTACGTTTATGGACTTGCGTATGTTGAACCAGCCTTGCATCCCCGGGATGAATCCTACTTGATCATGGTGGATGAGCTTTTTGATATGCTGTTGCAATCGGTTTGCCAGTATTTTATTGAAGATTTTTGCATCTATGTTCATCATGGATATTGGCCTGAAATTTTCTTTTCTTGTTGAGTCTCTGCCGGGTTTTGGTATCAGGATGATGTTTGTCTCGTAAAATGATTTGGGAAGGATTCCCTCTTTTTGGATTGTCTGGAATAGTTTCAGAAGGAATGGTATCAGCTCCTCCTTGTATGTCTGGTAGAATTCAGCTGTGAACCCATCTGGACCTGGGCTTTTTTTGGGTGGTAGGCTCTTTATTGCTGCCTCGACTTCAGACCATGTTATTGGTCTATTCAGGGTTTCGGCTTCTTCCAGGTTTAGGCTTGGGAGGTTGCAGGTGTCCAGGAATTTATCCATTTCTTCCAGGTTTACTAGTTTATGTGCATAGAGTTGTTTGTAATAATCTCTGATGATGGTTTGGATTTCTGTGGAATCTGTGGTGATATCCCCTTTATCGTTTTTTATTGCATCAATTTGGTTATTCTCTCTTTTCTTTTTTATTAATCTGGCTAGTGGTCTGTCTATTTTGTTGATCTTTTCAAAAAACCAGCTCCTGGATTTATTGATTTTCTGAAGAGTTTTTTGTGTCTCTATTTCCTTCAGTTCTGCTCTGATCTTAGTTATTTCCTGTCTTCTGCTAGGTTTTGAGTTTTTTTGATCTTGCTCCTCTAGCTCTTTCAATTTTGATGATAGGGTGTCAATTTTAGATCTCTCCTTTCTTCTCATGTGGGCACTCATTGCTATATATTTTCCTCTAGAGACTGCTTTAAATGTGTCCCAGAGATTCTGGTATGTTGTGTCTTCGTTCTCATTGGTTTCGAAGAACATCTTTATTTCTGCCTTCATTTCATTGTTTATCCAGTCAACATTCAAGAGCAAGTTGTTCAGTTTCCATGAAGCTGTGTGATTCTGAGTTAGTTTCTGCATTCTGAGTTCTAACTCGATTGCACTGTGGTCTGAGAGACTGTTTGTTATGATTTCTGTTCTTTTGCATTTGCTGAGGAGTGATTTATTGCCAATTATGTGGTCAATTTTAGAGTAGGTGTGATGTGGTGCTGAGAAGAATGTATATTCTGTGGATTTGGGGTGGAGAGTTCTGTAAATGTCTATTAGGTTTGCTCGTTCCAGGTCTGTGTTCAGGTCCTGGATATCCTTGTTGATTTTCTGTCTGGTTGATCTGTCTAATATTGACAATGGGGTGTTAAAGTCTCCCACTATTATTGTGTGGGAGTCTAAGTCTCTTTGTAAGTCATTAAGAACTTGCCTTATGTATCTGGGTGCTCCTGTATTGGGTGCATATATATTTAGGATCGTTAGCTCTTCTTGTTGCAGTGATCCTTTTACCATTATGTAATGTCCTTCTTTGTCTCTTTTGATCTTTGTTGCTTTAAAGTCTATTTTATCAGAGATGAGAATTGCAACTCCTGCCTTTTTTTGCTCTCCATTTGCTTGGTAGATCTTCCTCCATCCCTTTATTTTGAGCCTTTGTGTATCCTTGCATGTAAGATGGGTTTCCTGGATACAGCACACTGATGGGTTTTGGCTTTTTATCCAATTTGCCAGTCTGTGTCTTTTGATTGGGGCATTTAGTCCATTGACATTTAGGGATAGTATTGTTATGTGTGAATTTGATGCTGTCATTTTGATGCTACCTGGCTGTTTTGTTGGTTAGTTGATGCAGATTCTTGATTGTGTTGCTGCTTTTTTACCATTTGGTGTGTTTTTGGAGTGGCTGGTACTGGTTGTTCCTTTATATGTGTAGAGCCTCTTTCAGGAGTTCTTGTAGAGCAGGTTTGGTGGTGATGAAATCTCTGAGTGCTTGCTTGTTCACAAAGGATTTTATTTTTCCTTCACTTATGAAGCTGAGTTTGGCTGGATAGGAGATTCTGGGTTGAAAGTTCTTTTCTTTAAGGATGTTGAATATTGGCCCCCAGTCTCTTCTGGCTTGTAGGGTTTCTGCTGAGAGATCTGCTGTGAGTCTAATGGGCTTCCCTTTGTGGGTAACCCGACCTTTCTCTCTGGCTGCCCTTAGCATTTTCTCTTTCATTTCAACCCTGGTGAATCTGACGATTATGTGCCTTGGGGTTGCTCTTCTTGAGGAATATCTCTGTGGTGTTCTCTGTATTTCCTGGATTTGAATATTGGTCTGCCTTGCTAGGTTGGGGAAGTTTTCCTGGATAATATCCTGAAGAGTATTTTCCAGCTTGGATTCATTCTCTTCATCACATTCAGGTACACCTATCAGACGTAGATTAGGTCTTTTCACATAGTCCCACATTTCTTGAAGATTTTGTTCATTCCTTTTTGCGCTTTTTTCTCTGTTCTTGCCTTCTCTTTTTATTTCATTGAGTTGGTCTTCGACCTCTGATATCCTTTCTTCTGCTTGGTCAATTCGGCTGTTGAAGCTTGTGCATGCTTCACGAAGTTCTCGTGTTGCGTTTTTCAGCTCCATCAATTCACTTATTCTCCTCTCTATGCTGTCCATTCTCGTCAGCAGTTCGTCCAATCTTTTTCAAGGTTCCTATTTTCTTTGCGATGGGTTAGAACATGTTCTTTTAGCTCATTGTAGTTTCTTACTACCCATCTTCTGAAGTCTGATTCTGTCATTTCATCACCCTCCTTCTCCATCCGGTCTGGTTCCCTTGCTGGTGAGGAGTTGTGATCACTTTTAGGAGGAGAGGTGTTCTGGTTTCGGGAGTTTTCCTCCTTTTTACGCTGGTTTCTACCCATTTTTGTGGGTTTATCCACCTGTTGTCTGTCTCTGTCCCAGGGAGTTGGAGCTTTATGAGTTTCCGTTGCACTACTGCCTTTTTTGATTTTTTTTTTTTTCAGGTCGGACCCGCCCAGCTAGCAGCACGCCTAGCCTCTGCCTGCCCGCAGGGGCTTTGCTGAGCTGCTGTGGGCTCCGCCCAGCTGCCCTGAGCTCTTCCCTGTAGTCCTTTTTATATGGGCGTAGTTAGAACTGTCTGGGCAATGGTGGCCCCGCCTCTGTTATGGCGGACTCTCTCTGTTGTGGCAGGTTGCCTCGGCAACGGCGGGTTGCTTCGGCAACGGCAGCCTGCCTCCGTAGCGGTGGAGAGTCTCAGTAATGGCGGAAGCCCCTCCCCCACGGAGCCGGACCGTCCCGGTTCAGCTGTGCTTGGTTTGAAGGGCTCAACCCAGAGGGTTTCCAATTACTGTTTTTGTTTTCGTTGTTGTTGGGGGTGGAGGGGTGGGACCAACCGAGCCTGATCACCTGGCTCCCTGACTCAGAGTCTTTTCTTTTAAGTTGAACGACCCCGTGTTCCGGTCGCTTGTTGAAAAGGCGCCGGGATCTCCCGTGCTGCGACTCACGGAGTCGGCTCGAACCGCGGCGCCGGCTCCTGGCGGATTTTTTGCCTAGGAATCTCCTGGCCTGGCTCGCTATTTCAGATGAATGGGCTATTCTGCCATCTCAAGGCTCTGCTCGCCAGCTAAGAGGGCTCCCAGACCAGTGGCTTTTGTACGGAGAACCGCAGCAACAGGGAGTGGTCACAGCAGCCGCGCGGGCGGAATCAGCCCCGCGGGGGCCAAAACAGCCACACCGGCTGGGACTGCGACGCTGACGACCCCTCTGCCTGGGTATCTCCTGGTCTGTGGGCAATAAGAGTTCGTCTGGAAATGCGGCGTCCACTCACCCTCTGCACTTTCACTGGGAGCTGAAGTCCTGAGCTGTTCTTAGGCGGCCATCTTGAAAGTCCTCCAAATTATCATTTTTAAAATCCTAATTTTAATTCTTCAGAGATAGTGTATAGAGATAATATAATAACTAAATAATTTAAAAGCTTGCTTGAAATTTGAGAAAAATTCTATCATGATAAAATATCACTTATTCAAACCTCAACATCAAGGATAGTAGGCTTTGTATTTAGGATGTTTTAAAAAGTACTTAAAAAGTGATATCATCTTTAAAAAAATTAAAACATTTTTCTAGAATAAATGTATATAATTTTAAAACCTGAAGGAGAGATATATAGGTAAGGATTAATCAATAATAATTAGCAAGTTACTAAAATGAGATATTCATAGTCACTAACATCACTGACACATCCAGCAATTATACTAAAATTAGCACAATTGCAAGAAGAAAAACAAAAAGAAAAATACTAGTGCTTTATACTCTGGAGTAGACAAAATCTACTTTTAGGATATTATTTTTTTAATTGTGTTTGAAAATCAATACATTCTTGAAAATAAAATCCAACTGTTTATTAACATACCCTGTCTCCAAGTCTGAGATTTATGCCATCAAGTTCTAAAAGAGAGAATGCCTGAACCGTGGTCTCTTGTTTCAGCTCCTCTTTGACTTCTTGAGAAGAAAGCCTAGACCAAGCAATGTAAAATCCCACTGAGTTGTTTGTAGGGGGAACATCAAAAGAACATCTACAGAAAATCCTGGACTCAATCACCTCCACCAGAACCTCTGGTCTTCCTGCAAGTGGAGGTGGAAATGGGGCAGCCAGGTGACCTGGAAGTAGAAAGTGCATAATTAGTAACTAGGAATCTAACAGAATGGAGATTGTCCTATGGAAAAAGCACTCAAAGACTATGACTCTGGGCTTCATCTTAAGAAAAGGCAAACTAAATTCAGGAAAATGATTACTTCTAACAATCAACAAAGTAATACATTCACATTCTAACCCATAATCACACACATATTGATAACCAAGCACCATATCAGCTCAAGCTTATATTAATGTATGTTGAATATCTGCCTTTGAAAAGTCTGGCTCTTAAAAAGAAATTCGCATTATTTGAAGCAATTATCTTTTCTAAAAGACAGAACAAACAAAATTAAGGTTTAGTACATTATAATTCCTTGTTATAATGAGAAATAGTCACAAGAATGTAAAATCAAATGACTTTCTCTTTTAATATAATAGTTTTCGCTTATAACTCAACTCAACATTATCCTGTGTTGAAAGAGTTGTTCATTGTGGAGGTGATGATACTAGCTCAGTGAAATATATCTTGTTAAACAATAATTTTATTCTTTTCATTTTTCTGAGATTAAAAAATTTGAAGTTTTCTCTAGGAACTCACAGGAAGATGTTATAGTTTTGAACTCTAGGTATTTGCAAAATCAAATCTGGGGATCTGAAAGTTTTCTGAATAAGTTTTTGTTTAGTTTTGTTCTGTTTTAGAAAGTAAAAAAATACCTGAGTGGTAATTTTTTAAAAGATTTTAAAATGTTCTAAAATGTATAATTTTTCTATTGTATATATGCTAATTTTAGAATAATCACAAAACTAATCTTTCAGCCTTGCCATATAGATTTTGGAAAATTCTAGAAAGACCTTAAAATGTTTCCTGTGGAGAAAACATACTTTTAGATCTTTTAGTGTTATTTTATTATAGTCTCAATGACAAATGAATTATTTTCTAATTTACCTAGTTAACAAATATTTTGCTAAACATTTTAAATATTAGACCAAATCAGTATATTCAAACTTTTAGGAAATAATAAACTACTTTTGAATATATATTTTATTTTTAAAAATTATGTATCTGAGTAAAAATTTCTCTTTAAATAAATTAAGGAAAGAATATTTATTTTAAAACAGGGAAAAGCTGCCTATGGAAATGATGATTAAGAATAAGAGAAGGCCAATGACTGAAAAAAATAATTCATGACGATTAAAATTTTGATTCAGTATTTTGAATAATGAACTATATGGGCAAATTGATCACTGCTTGCAACAGTAAAGGAAAGTTGTTATATTTAAAGAAAAAGGTTTAAAAACAACAAATTATTTCTGCTTAGAAAATCAAAATTATTATTTCTTTGTCAATTCTAATGTTAGTATATATTAAATACATTAATATATTTTCCATTTTGTCACGAAGCTTTATCTGTTGACTTTTGACTCAATATTTTCATTTAGTGTTACTTCCCCAAATTGTGTACAATTTGCATAGCAGCATTTTCTGTTTTCAATTAATTGCATAAAAGTTCTAAAGAGCATAATAAGTAGGTGAAATTTATTATTTATTCAAGAGGAAAAAGTGATTTTTCTATAATACACATACGTTATAAAGAGAATTTACATCTATTATGCAGAGTAGTCAAATAATTACATTTTATGTTTAATGTTGCTATTATGAATAGTGTTTTATTGCTTTATGAACTTAAATCACAGGGCTTAATTAAACTGACCTTCAGATATAATAATACCTTATTTAAAATATACAGAAAAAAAGGAGCTAGAAAATCCATTTGGAATAGGACATGAAATGGAGCATGAAAAATCAATTTGGAGTGATAATTTTGCAGATTATTATAAAAGTCTTTTAAAAATACCAAGCATAATAATTTTTAAGCTTGGTATTTGAACATTACATGATCTATCCTGATTTATTTTATGTATTTATGGCTTGTTCCACCATATAAAACACCTCTGCGAATTAAATTAATTATGTGTCAGCAGTCTCTCATGCATTTCAGGTATCACATTTGTCTAAGAGAAAATATAATAAGTCTATAATCCCATACAAATGCTAATGTTTCAGTAAATAATTTCAATTTCTGCCCAACATGTAGATAGATGACATACATTTTATCACTTAAGCTACTTAATTTATTTTAAAGCATATTATAGTAGGAGGATTTCTTAATATTTGAAAAGACTTTAAAACATTTTAAAAACAAAATAAAAAGTATACATTGAAAGGAAGAGAAAAATTTTGATCACTATTAACATCATTGATGTTCATTTATCTTTCAAGATTTATTTGATACAAATACAATTGTTCCCTTAAAAGAAAAAGTATTGTTGTATTGTATAATGCACTCCTATATTTTAATGGTGTTTGCAAAATGTTTTGTCAGTATTTATGTATCAGAAATATTGAATCAATCAGTCAATCGGAAGTTATCGGATATTTGCAGGTTTTAAAAAACAATTATTAGGCAAACCTTGTTATAAATATTGTGCTTGTACACTTCCTTAAATAGCTCTCTGAGACGTATTTTTGAAAGTGTAATTTTTAGGCACAAGCACATAACAGAGTTGTAAGAATGTTGATATGAACTGCCAAATTTTCTTATGAATGATTCTACCAATATGTATACATTTGCCTAACTCTCTGTACCTCTGCCAACTCAAGGACTATTTCTTAAAGGCATGATAAAGTTATTTATATTTTTGATATCTACCAGACTTTAGTTATGTCAAATATCAACATAATTCAACATCCAAAGCTGCAGAATATAATACCCGTTGAAACAGTCTAGTTTATAAACACATTATTAAAAAGCAAAATATAATACTTACCAACACAATCACCTCCTATTTCAGTTTCATCAGGGCCACATGGGTATAACTGTGCATCAGAAATAGCTGACAAAGGTTAAGGTTTGTATATTTATTCAAGTGGGTATGAAGATACAAATCTACATATATCCAAGATGACAATTTATTGAAGGATGTTTTAATACAGACTATGACTTTCTTCATTCTTATTTCATAACACAGTATTTTCTTTTAAGGGTGAGATCAAATGGATCATATTTCAAAACAATTAAAGCTTTAATATCTTATTTTCTAAGTATGACTCTGCATTTTTTAAATAATGAAACACTGACAATATCAAGTGCTGACAGGGATGTGGAACAACATGTGTCAGTGAGACTGCAAAATGGTACAGCTATTTTGGAGAACAGTTTAGTGGGTGGTTTCTTGATAAACTAAACATATTCTTAGCAAATGACACAGAAATCATGCTCCTCTATATTTACCCAAAGGAGTTGAGAACTTATTTCCATATAAATACCTGCATATGGAAGTTTATAGCAACTTTATTCATAATCGCCCAAACTTGAAAGCAACCATGATGCTCTTCAGCAGGTGAATGCATATGCTGTGATACATAGAGACAGTATGGAATATTATTCAGCCTCAAACAGAAATGAGTTATCAAGCCACAAAAAGACATGTAGGAAACATGAATGATAATTAAGTGAAAGAAGCCAATCTGAAAAGGCTACCTACTAAATGATTTCAACTGTATAAAATCCAGAAAAAGACAACATCATGGAGATAGTAAAAAGAGCTGTGGTTATCCAGGTTTGAGAGGAGGGAGAGGTGAACAGGCAGAGCATAGGGTATTGTTAGGGTTGTGAAATTAGTCTGTATGTTACTATAACAGTAGATACACGTTAAAAAATTTGTCCAAACCCATAGAATGTACAACATCAAAAGTGAACCCTAATGTAAACTGCAGACTAGGTGATAATGATGTGTCATTGTAGCACTCTGGTGGGGGATGTCAACAATGGGGTTGGGGGACTATTCGTGTGGGGGATTTATGGGGTCTATGGGAAATCTATAGTAATGAAACACAGCCAAGTGCAGTGGCTCACGTCTATAATCCCATAACTTTGGGAGGCTGAGGCAGTAGGATCACCTGAGGTAGGGAGTTCAAGACCAGCTTGATAAACATGGGGAAACCTCATCTCTACTAAAAATATGAAATTATCCAGGCATGGTGGTGCCCGCCTGCAATCCCAGCTATTCAGGAGGCTGAGGCAGGAGAATCACTTGAACCTGGGAGGCAGAGGTTGTGGTGAGCTGAGATCACACCATTGCACTCTAACCTGGGCAACAAGAGAGAAACTCCACCTCAAATAATGATAATAATAAAAAACACTATAGTCCCCAGAAATGTAGACAACAGTTGGTTTTATGCCAGTTCCTTGGAAATCGATTTCCCTATACTCATTTACAGGATTACACCACCAATAAGCCAAGGACAGAAGTGGTGATATTTACAACTCAAAGTACTGAATTCAGGTGATTGGTACAAGAGCAACTATCTGAACAAAGATAGGCTCATCAGATTGCTTCTTGAAAGAATTTAGTATTTAAACTAAAAGACAAGAAGTTGGAAGCTGAGTCAAGTTACTGATGGAGCTCTATATGAATGTCTAGACTGCTGTTGCCAATATCTGGAAGCTGATCTATTACTCACTTTCTGAGGCTTTCCTATGTAACTTCAGATCTAATGACATATCCTAAAACTCTTAGATGTGATTATCTTTTACATTATTTTCCATTGTTTTTTATTATGTGCAAGCCAAACAGATTTGAAATAACCTTTACTATTAGACATGTACATGCATATATAAAAGAATGCAGCATTCCTATAAATGGTGGGCCAAAATATACATTCCCTTGGCCAAGCACTCCCTAAAAGTGTGCCCCATCTGCATTTGGGGGGTTTTCTTGTCTTTTCTTCTTCCTTCTATTTGCTTCCTGGCTCAAATATTTAATATTAGGATTAGACAATTAAGAATCTCAAGAAACATTAGCAAAGAAAAAAAAGAAGCCATTTTGCTAAAAACCTTTTGTTTCTTCCTGATTCAACCATATGCCAATGATTAAACAATCATAAAGTAGTAGTTCTCAAGAAAGGAAGTAAACAAGCAGAAATCTAGTTTCAAAGCATGTAAGATGTGCAACATTTGAGGTCCTATGTAAAGCAGTGGGACACTGCTGGGCTGCACACAACTAACTTGGGTTAGCACAAGGAACCTTGTAAAGAAAAGAGATGCCTGATCTCCATCATGAAGCAGTAAAGGTTTGTATGAGGTCCAAGCAGAGGGAGGAACAAGTATGAGATATGAAGAAGAAGAGGACGGAGCAGAAAACTACAACTAGCAAGACACCATAACTTTTTTTTTTTTTTTTTTTTTTGAGATGGAGTTTCGCTCTTGTTACCCAGGCTGGAGTGCAATGGCGCGATCTCGGCTCACCGCAACCTCTGCCTCCTGGGTTCAGGCAATTCTCCTGCCTCAGCCTCCTGAGTAGCTTGGATTACAGGCACGAGCCACCATGCCCAGCTAATTTTTTTGTATTTTTAGTAGAGACGGGGTTTCACCATGTTGACCAGGATGGTCTCGATCTCTCAACCTCGTGATCCACTCGCCTCGGCCTCCCAAAGTGCTAGGATTACAGGCTTGAGCCACCGCGCCCGGCAAGACATCAGTAACAGGTTGTAGAGTATCCTTGTTGAAGATAATCAGGATGCAGGCTTCCAGAGATCAATCTAACTTTACTAGTCACTACTTGTGATGTTGGGCAAGTGTTTATTTTCTCTGAGCGACTCTTTATGTCCACAGAATAGGGATTTTTATTGCATGCATCTTATTCTCACACAACGGCCTCATCTACATCCTTCCAACATGCTGGAAAAACTCTTTCCTAAGGGTCTTTGCTCTTGCTCTACTCCGACATGATGGCTATGTGGTGTGTGCTTAACACTGGGACTTTGTTTCCTTCTTTTAAAATAACTTTACTGAGGTATAATTGACTGAAAAAAGTGTAATTAATATGTAATTAATGACGTTTTGACATATGAATACACCACAAGATAACAGTATTTCCATCACTTCCAAAAGTTTCTCTGTCCTTTTTTAAACCTTCTGCCTGCCCCTCCTCCACGTTCATAGACAGCAACTTATCAGCTCTGTCATATAGTTCATATTATATTTTCTCGAACTTTATATAAATATAATTGTACATTATGGACTTTATGTCTAGAAAATTTCATTCCACATACATGTTTGTGATTCATCTATGTTTTTGGTTTATCAATAGTTTCTTCTTTTTTCTTACAGTGAAACCATCCTACAAATATAGTTCTTCCTTTTTTGTTGGACAGTAGTATTTCATCGTACAGGCTTATAATAATTTGATTATCCATTAACTCATTGATGGATTTTTTTTTTTCAGGTTTTGGCTATTTTGAATACAGCTGCTTTGAACATTCATGTAGAAAACCTTTTAGAAACATTTGCATTTATTACTCTTGGTAAATACATAAGAATGGAATGGCTATGTCATATGGAAGCATATGTTTCCTTTTTAAGATACTGTCAAATTATTTTCTAATGTTTGAATGTATCATTTTATACTACCACTAGCAAAATACAACAGTTCTGGCTGCTTCATGGCCTCATCATCATGTAGTATAGTCAATCTTTTTAATTTTATGTATAATATAATGGTAACTCATTGTGGATATAAATCCATTTCACTAATGACTAATGTTTAGCATATTTTTATGTGCCAATTTTCTATTATTATGTTCTTTGGAGAAGTCTCTGTTCAAATCTTATCACAAAGTTGTTTTCCTATTATTGGGTTTTGAAAGTTACTCATATATTTTGGATCCAATTCTTCATCAGATACATGAATTGCAAATATTTTTCCCTAAGCTATGGCTTATCTCTTCATTTTCTTTAGTGTCTTTCAATGAGCAGAAGAGCAGAAATTCACAATTTTGATCAAGTCCAATTTATATTTTTTAATGGATCACAATTTTGGTATATTTTTAAAATATTTGTCTAATCTAAGATCACAAATATTTTCACCTAAAAGTGAAAGTATTCTCTGAAATTTTGTATTTTTACCTTTTATAATTGAGATTTGAGTCTTTGATAATTGTGAGGCAGATTTTTCTTTTTATTGTATGTTGATGAGAGATATGAATCAAAGTTATTTTTTGCATATGGATATTCAATTTACCAAAAACACAACCCTTTTTTCTATAGAATTAGATCTATTCTTGTGTTTAAAATCAGTTACTGTGTGTTGGTGTTCTTCTGGGCTCGCTATTCTTTTCCATTAATTTATTTATCTATCCTCTTGCAAATACTATATTGCCTACAATATTATAACTTTAGGTAAGTTTGAAGTCAGATAATATAAGTTGTCCAATTGTTTTCTTTATCAAAATAGTTTTAGGTATTATAGGTTCTTCATATTTCTATATGAGTTTTAGAATAAGTTTGTCAATTTCTACAAGAATGATATTCATTAGGGCAATTTTGGAACTGTAGATCAATTTGAGAAGAATTGACATCTTAACATCATGTCCTTTGATACTGGTAATTTCTGTCTTGTCTTTTTTTTTTTTTCTTTTTTTACTGATCAGACTGGCTAGATAATTATTCATCTTATTTAATTTCTGAAATAACCAGTTTTTTATTCTATTGAATTTTCTCTGATGTGTTTGTATATTCTATTGCATTTATTTTTGCTCTACTTTCTTTCGTTTGCTTACTCTGAGTCACATTTGTGCTTCTTGTTCTAATTAATTAATGTACAAAGGGGTCTTCAATTTGTGACTTTTCTTGTCCAATGTAGACACTAAGTGGGTTTTAATTTTAATGAACTTCAATTTTTTTTCTGATATTCTAATTTTCTTAATTTAGGGCTGAGAACATGGTTTTTCATGCTAATATTTTCATATGTACTTGTAAAGAACACCTATGCTGCTGCCTTATGAAGACTTTTCTACATGTCATTTAGATAAGATTGGCTGAAAGAGTGCTCTGCTCCATGTCTGCTGTTTTAGTTTCCACATGCTTGATCAATTATTGACAGATAGGTCTGAATCTCCAGTAAAAATTGCAAATTTGTTTATTTCTCCTTGCAGGTCTATCAGTTACATTTACATACTTTGAATTCGTTATTGTTTGATCATTTAGAACTGTTGTAGTCTTTTATTAAATTGAACACTTTGTTATTAGGAAACGACGCTTGTTTTTCCTAGGAATATTTTTTGCTTTTGAGTCTACTATGCTTAATATTAATATGGCCACTTGACATTTCATGTGATTAATGTTACCTATGTATGTCTTCTTCCATCCTCATGTTTGAACTCATTTTTCTTATATTTTAAATGAGTTTTCTAGGCATCCTATAGTTGGGACTTGCTTTTTTACCCAATTTGGCAATTTCTGCTTTTCAGTTGGGTTGGTTAGATCATATATATTATATATACATATTTTTATATACTACTTTTGTACCAACCTAATATCTGTATATATATGTCATATATATAGCAACATGGTAGAATTAAACCTTACAGTATCCACAATTATTTGACAATATTGTAAGTTTTAAATCCACCATGTTGCTATCCATGTTCTCTTTGATCTATTAGTGCTTTGTTCTATTTTTCATTTTTATCTGCATTAAGAAATATGGAATATATTTTATGATTTTATTTATATCCCTGGTTGGCTGATTAGCTATAATTTTTTATTTTAGTGGAAGATTTAGAGCCTATAGTATACATTTTTAACATAGGCTAATTTTAATTGATATGATGCCACCTCACATGGAATATAAGGATCTAACTCGCTTGCTAACTAGAAATACAAAAAATATAACAAATATGTGTATTTCCATGGATTCTTTTAAAGAAGTAATGTCACAAATATATAATCACCATTAGAGTGGCTGTGATAACAATTATGATCTTGAATTAATTTTTTTCTTATTTGACTTCTAGAAGGCTGTAGGGATAGATAAATTACGTGAATATATACACATATATATGAATTATGTGAGAATCAAAATGTCTTCAGGAGACTATGCTATTAAAGTGGAATTTTGCTTTCTACTATCTGCTGTTTTGGTGATTTTAAAGTTAAATATTATAACTCTTAGCTAGACAAGAGCTATTGGCTATAGACAGCAATACGTCCAAGTAAAAAGTGACATTTCATAGACTGCCTTTGAAGATAGAGATAAGCCTGGGAATTATTCTAAAGTAGTTATGATAAGAAGCCTTTTTCCAAATAAGCTCCTTAAAATTGAGTAAGTTGCAGTTAGTAGAAGCTCTCTTTCACCTTTTGAACTTTCCCTTTTATCCTGTCTAAATGCAGATAAAAAGGCTAAAACTGGAGCTTCTTCCTGCCACCATGAAGGAAAAGATTAGTGACTCACAAAGACCTCAGCCTGACATTGTAAAGTGGCCAAATCGCCATCAGCAGAGAACACCTGCTCCAGATATTTGGTCAGCAAGAAGAAGAAACTCTTTAAGTAGATTAAATGGCTGTCATTGTTGTTAGCTATCTATGCAGTCTAAATCAAGTTCTAAATGGTATTTTAAGGTAAATTTCTATCTGCAAATCAGAAAGAATAATTCAGGCGCGTCTGGTTAACAGACATTAAGAGCAAAAAATAACATTTGTCTTCCAGAATTCCTTTTCCCTAAATACTTAAAGGACTTGAATGTGGAGATTATGAGGTACTTTTGAGTGTTCTGGGTTAGGAAATTGAGTGGATGGTCGTGATATTAACAAAACAGGAAATACTTTAAATTTGTAGGGGATGTCATAAAGTGCAAATTTTAAATATTATGTTGTTTAATTGAGGGTAAAAATAATATTTCTGGTGAAGCGAGGATTTGAATTTTATGGTATTCCCTGGTGTGAAAGTTTTGTTTTCTTTTTTAATAGTTGTTAGTGTTTCTAAACTAATATAGATAAATCATTGGTTTTTCCATGAAACACAGAATTTTCCACAAAGATTTGTTTATATTACAGAAAGATGTATAAAAATTAAGTATTTTTATGACAAGAATGCAAAAAAAGATTTTTTCAGTTTTTCAAAAACTCTTGTCTTGGCCACCCAATGAGGCTGATGCATCTCTCTGGATTTTCTCCTTCCTAATGAATGGCACTAGCTATACTAAACTGAGCAGATGCTGCCCTTTCTTAGTAAACAGACTGCCAGTCTTAGCTGGACAGCAGATGTGTATGGAATGTGAAGGTTTACCAGCACACTCCCTCAGGATAATTCTCCACAGACGTCTCAATGCACACAGCACAAAATGCCTAAGTGATCAGGCCTTGCTGCCTTTTCAAACCCACAGTATGTTATGTTCTCCCTCCCTCACTGAGATCTAATATTTCTGTCCGGCTTTCACTCCTATGAGCGCAATATATTCTTATTGCCTTAGGGCCTGTCGATTGCTGCAGCTGCTGTTTGAGCTGTTCTTCCCCACACTTTTTGTCTGACCAAGGACAGTTTAACCTCCAGCTCCCAGCTTCAATGCCCTTTTGTTAGACGTTTCACTGGTGACGCTTCATTATATATTTCATCCTCTCTCACCTTCGGTATTCTCTTCCACAGCAATTTTTAATCTTTTCATTCATACCATCAACTGCAATTTACAATTGCATGAATACTCTGTGCTATGAGGGCAGGGACTACATTTATTTTGGACACCGCTATATACTAAGGACATGCTGTGCTGGTTAGAAAATAAGCATGACTCCAACGGTATATATGTGTAAAATAATTCATGCGTTATTATTATACTTGTGGAATACTTATTTGAACTAACAATTTTATGTTTACTATTTTGATCTTATTATAATAATAAACAGTAACTTTGCCTTATTCCTTTTTTAAAGATGGAACTACTGACTTGAAATTAATGATAAAGTATATCTAAACAATTCCATTTTCGATAAATGCAGTAGGTTAGTTTCTATTATCATGTAAAGTAGATGATAACACCTTATTTGCTTAGAGATTATGGCCAATGATGATATATTTATATCAACTTTAGAGGTCATTTGGAAATAAAAGGGAAGTTAAAGACAGAATGTGAAATTGGAGTGTGTGTCATTGTTTTTAAGATTGCACTACAGACTCATCAAAATACTAAAATTTTTGTTTTGCATTTTCAACTCAAAGAAATAATTAGCCATAGGAGAAAACTTATTATAATTATTATTATTACTGCTGGCATCAAGTAACAGATTTCTGAAGATAAGAATGCTAGAAATTTAAAGGAATCAATTTTTCTAATAATATTGATTTAAATTCCAAAGCTATAATGAGCAAAATGATTTTTGAGATTTGACATTTTATACTTTTTTTTTCAGATTTTAACAATATCTAATCCAGGATATCCCATTGTGTTATTCATCATTTTCTACTCTGTGACAGTTTTTTATTCTCTCTTGTTTTGTGTAATTTTGATATTTTTGAAGTGTACTATTCAGGTATTTTGTTACTGTATTCTTTAATTGGGGTTTATATAAACTTTCTCATGATTAGACTAGGACTACGTTTTGGGGAAAAGAGTACTACAAAAGAGAAGGGCTCTGTTTTTTACATGTTTTCAGGACACATGTGACATCAACATGCATTATCACCAGTAACGTTAACTCTGATCACTTGATTAATGTAATGTCTGCCAGGTTTCTCCACTGTAAAATTGCTAGTTTCTTTCATTGTCATAAACAATTATTTGGAAACAACTCAAATGCAACCAGCAATCAAAATGAGGGGAGTTATGCATAATACTTTAGGTAAAGTAGTAGCTACAAATATTTACAAAGAAAGTTTCTTTAAAGAAGCTTGATTCCTTGCCTCTATTTATCTTCTCACATATTTATATAAAGGACTTAGGGTTATTTATTTTAATCTTTGAATAATATTCAGTTTCTTTTTAGATATTGTCTGAAGCATCCTATTAGGATGTAAGTTTCATGAAGGCAGAGATCTCATTCATCTGGCTCGTCACTGTAACTCTGAGGCCTTAAATAATTTCTGGCACAGGGTAAACATTCAATACATATTGCTGAATGAAAGATGAAATAATATAAAATGTATATTTTTGATAACTTTTACTCACCCTTCTTCATCCTTTAATTAAAAGAGGAATGGACTTGAGGAAACCAAAGAATTTTTAACACACTCAATCATTATATCCAGTGGAAAAATGTGAGATATTTGCTTTGATGCTTTCACATCAAATATTTGGGGGGACTTTACAATCTTGGCAAAGAATCCTAAAGAAACCTTCCCAATGTAAACAGAAATTTAGCTTCAATCTATCAATAATGGTAGACCAAGTATCTTGCTGAGATTTGCACTAGCTCAATACAACCCATCCAGAGAATGGTACGAATGGCAGAGTTCCATGAGTAACAGTCACACAAATTACTGACATTTTCTTACCTTCCGCACAATAGCCCATACATCCCTGAGTTGGTTGCAGTAAGTACACAAAAAAGTTCCCACAGTTTCTTACAGACACTGGGATTTGAAACAGACAGCAGTCTTTTGTGTCACTGAACAAAAACTGCCATGTGGCACAAGCTGACAATTGCTTCATCTCCCCAGGAGGTGGCAGTGTTTCTGAATCTCTCAGAGACAGCCAGATGGGTGCCTGAGTTCCACAATGGTTCATCTTTCGCAGCAGAGAAAACAAGAGTTGAAAATTCAGTTTATTTTCATAGATTGTAGATATATTAACTTTGCATTTTCTTCTAATTCACCATTAAAATATTATTAATCATTAAAAATTATGACTTGCACCTATTCTTTACAAGAAAAAGTAGTTTTAAAGAATACTAAATCTGAGGGTAGTCATCTCATAATTAACATACTCATTCAATGTAAATATTAATACATTTATTCCACTCATTATGTTTGTATTGTAAACAAGAGAAATTAAATCTCAGAAATCATACTAAAATAGCTGATACAGTCTAAAACATGACAAGTCAATCCGAAGTTATTTTAACACATAGCACAAAAAAACCTGATCTTGGAAAGCTATTGCAAAATTGCCTGCAATAGTATATGCAATAGTATATAACTATGAAGTTAATTCATAGTTCAAGAGGCAATAAAATTGAGGAGAAGGAAGGTATTGCTCAAAATCTGGTGGTAGAAAGTTGATCAGTAATTTAGAAATAATAAAGTTTAAACCTCACTTGAAGTCAATTATCAAATCATTTTCAGATTAAAAATAGAATTAAATAGAAAAATAACCCAGGAAAAACAAGAGGAAACTATGTATGACTTGGGAAGAACCAGGTCCCTTACTAAACGCATGATCGTGGACAAGGCACTCAACATCCTTCTCTTTTTATATTAGGTAGAGGTAGTACCCACCTCAAAAGGCCATAGTGAGGTATAGATAAAAAATGTATATACTACACTTCTACATAGCAATGGCTCAAAAATCATTAGCCAGTTTATAATTCTTATTATTATTTCTATGCTTAAAAGCAAAAAAGAAAACCATAAAGGAAATATTGATAGATATGACTGAATTATAATTTTTAAAATGTAAGACAGAAGTTAAATAAGAAAATTACATGTAAATAGTACAATATTAAGTATGTTATATTTATTTATAATTATACTATTATATTTGTTATTTTAACCATGTAATATTATCCATTTGAAAACTCTTAAGACTATAAATGGACAAAAGGTACAAATACATAATTCACAAAAGAAATACAAATGCCTAATATATATATGAGAATATTCAGTATTGCAAAAGTTATTTTTATGTGCTGCTATTGGAATTAAAAATTATTATTATGTTTTAAATGAATAAATACATGTATCAAAAGCCTCAAAAAGACTTGAACCATTACTAACTTAACAAATCAATCTAACTAAACACACTAAAATTGAAACAATAATTACATGTATATTTGCTAATTGCAGAATTACTTATTATAGCAAAATCCTAAACATGCACACATATAGTGATGTTTTAAATAAATATGATACACGTATGACATTGTATTACTTTTTTAAATTATAAAAATGAATTTATAATAACAGGAAAATGATAATGCTATAGCCCTAACTGAAAACAAATAGCATGTTTTTCCATTGAACATATAACATGAACACTACAAAACAATATAAGTAAGATAAAACAATAGCAAAATGTTAATAATGGTAGTTACGACTGTGTGGATAGATTAGGAATAAATGTTGTTCCGTTCATGTTCTTTATTTCCTAAGCTTTCTGTAATACACATGCATTATTTAAAACATTACCAATAGTAATGTATGTAAGTCGACATGCATTAATCTGTAGTGAAAAAATTCTCTTGCTTTCTGGTTGCATGCTTTAAAGTATTGGTTCAACAAGTGAATGAGAGGGTGGAGACAGGGAACACTTCCTCATGGAGCACGGCCTGCTCAGGTTAGCTGATCTCCAGGAAAAGAGGCCGGGAAACTGTCACCTTCACATTTGTGTGAGGGACTAGGAACAATTATAGTTAAAACAGCCTTAAGAGAAAAACACAAATATTTTTTAATTGGTGAAGGAAGCTCCTCCAATTTTCTCAAACTTTACTTTTAAATTCTGAATTTTTTTTAGTCCCTTTCAAATGAAGTGTCACAAATAAACAAAAAAGAGAAAATGAGACTTGGCCAAAATGCCTCACATTACAACAAAATGTTAAAATTTCAATGTATTTCCAGAGATCTTTTTGTATTCGTGCTTAAAAAGGAAAATGATTCTTGGTTCTGCAGAATTCATAAAATGTGACTAACAAGGAAAACAAGCCTTTTGCTAAGACCTAGTCTTAAATGATTCAGTTTCTCTCCAGGGGCCAATAGTAGCCACATGTCCTCTAGGTTAAAAGAAAACCAATTTTAAGAATGAAATCATATCCAATAAGTGTATTATAACTATATAGGGTAAAATTGTGAATGATGATGGATACTTTAATAATTTGGCAAGCATGACACAGACATATTTCTTGAATAATACAATGTCTCTATTAGCTACATGTCACACAGTCACAAGTGAACACCTGTTTATGCAGGACTCATTTGGGAAACCAGTCAGCTGAGAAAGATGGGGGCTTATGATAAGGGAGAAGGCTGGAAACATGACTTTGGTCCTGTGACTCCAGCTTAGTGTCTGTGTCTACATATTTATAATAAGGTAACACTAGCTAGCTCAAAACATCACCGAGAGAACTAGTGAGTTTACATATGCAATAATGTCCACAAGTGCAGGGAATTTATAAGTTGCAAAATAAATGTCAGATTAAAAGCCTTCTTAGCATTTTGATTATATAACTTATGATGCTGAGTTAATGGGCTTAGTGTTTTGACAGATTGAGACTTAGTCTCATTCCTTAGATCATGTGGATAAAAATGTGGTAGCAATAATAGGAGTTGAACTGAAAGAGTAACTGGTCAAAGTATGACAAGTTGAAATAATATCTATTTCATGACAGTGTCATCAGATGAATGGGGACTACAAATGAATTAGGGGAACTTGCATTTGTAAATCATGCTAGGGATAAATAGAATTGTCAATAAAAATTCAGAGTGGCTTGGATAAGTAATGCAAGTTAGCTGAGGGATTACCCAAGAAATCACAGTTTATGTTTCTTCCTTATTTTTTTGAAAGCATTTTCGAAGAAAACATATTTGTCATATGAAATAAGAATGAAAGAAGCCGCTTGGGCTAGTTCATTATACAAGACACTGCTATGATCAGAATCATCATATTGTGTGGCAAAAAGAGTGAACTTTATGAAAAGTTAAGTTGCAAAAACACACATCCGATCTGAGTTCATGTACAAAATTTCAGAAATGGACAAAATTAAATCTGATGTGTTTGAAAGACATATGCTTGTATGTTCACAACTATAAAGAGAAAACAGGTATGCTGGCTGCACAAATTTTGGGTTTGAGGAGGGAGCTTCAGTGAGACAAGGCCATATGCCTCCAGAGTATTGAATGTGCTGCAGGTACACTGTCCTGGAGATTTTACTGCCAGGCTGAGTTCTCATTAGTCTTAGAATAGGAGGTGCTGAGCCTGCAAGTTTTAGTCCATCAGTTAAGAAAGGCAGTGACAGGCAACAACTGACAAAAACTGAAGCACTTTAGACACACAGTATTTTACTGTTTGCAGGTAATATGGCTAAGCACCTGAGCCCTGGAGAATGCCTGCCTGTATTCAAAACTCAGCTTTTTCACCTGCTAGCTGTGACTGTAAAAGAACTATGCCTAAGAATATATGTTTTCTGCACGGTTTGATGGAAATAATGATGACAGATAGTAGCCTAGAATTGTAAACTTATACAAGATATTGTCAATAAAAGTGTTTGTAGACTGCATGGAGTCTAACGTTAACTATTACTATTACCATTATTATTAGACTGGGTAAGTGGGAATAGCCTTTCAGATTAACTCAATCTTATACAAAATTAAAACAATATTTTTGCATGAGAAATAAGCTGGTTGTAAGAAGAAAGAATTCTCACATGAAAAACACATAAGGAATATCAAACATAGTAATTCGGGAATTGACATACCTCAACACATTTGGTTGGCATCTCAGCAGGTCTGTCAAAGATGAGAAATCTATACCATCCAGGGGAGAGGGAATGGTCACATATTAGGTCTTGAACAGCTGACTGCTGGAGCTGCCATGAGTCAAAATGGACACTTCTATAAGGACTCCGAAGAAACTGGTGTCCCCCAGGAGAGCACTCCTGAGCTAGTATGGAAAGACAGGTGTTTTATGTAATTTGTTTTGTTTGTTGACATAGTTCAGTCTTTAATTAAAATTGATTCCCAAAACAAAAAATAAAGCAAATAAACTCACTATTGCACATAAAGACCCTCTGAAAGGTTAGGGTCTCTTAGTAAGTCTTAAGTGACTTAACTTGCATGTTTCATAAATGCAATAAACAAATGAATAAAACTCTTTATAATGTAATTTTGAACCGCTTAAGCTTTAAGGATTTTATTTTCATTTAATTTGAACAAACAATAGAGCTGGTTGCTCTTGAGTTAGGATGTCAAGTCACAGGACCAACAAGGATTTCTCTTGGGCCTGGTCCTCTGGATTTGAATATCACTATTGATTCTCCACAATCAGTTTCCCCCAAAGTAGTCACATGCCTCAAAAATTCAAAAATTCTATTTCTGCCAGATCCTGGAAAGCAACAAACTAAACTAATCTTTTAATGCTAACTTAGTAAGAGCTTTCAAAATAAAGCTTCCTGCATTCTTGGGTGCAGAAAAAAATTAAAAGATTTTAAAGTTACTTTCCAAAATTTTGGAAGTACCTTTATGAGTACTAAGCACAGGAAAATGCATGGGATGGAAGGGAGCAGGTTTGAAGAGGAAGCAAGAAAAGCCCATAGGGAAAGGAAGAATTCTGTAGTCTTTTTAAGGAAATCTGTTGTCTGAGGAGTCTTTGGCCTGGAAGATACTTTTTCTCTGAAATCCACAAAGGCAGAACCCAAAACTCCTCTTTCTATAAAGTACAGAGAAGAGCAGGCAGTGAAACAGTTATCCCAAATGCAGAACTCTTGTTTGAGACTCCTGGGCTCTCAAATTACCCAAATAACAATCACCACAAGGAACTGTCTGTATTTGAATATCAGAATATCTTGTCCACACAGCTGATAGAAAATCTTCAAGTACTATATATTGTATGTATTGATGGAAAACACTGTAATAAATATGGCATCTATGAAATAGAAAGGTGAAAGAAATAATTCATCACTACTAAAAATACCTCATTGTGGAAAAAACTTGTCTAACTTAAAAAATTATTAAATATTTATTATATAATTTTAAATTACACAGGTGCTTATAAATCAAAATCAATTTCCCAAATTAATAAGGAGAATAAAAAATCAGAGATATTAATTTACAAGTGAATCCCACAAGTGTAGCCTATGAAAAGTCATTATAATTAGAACTACATTTCCTTTTTTTGTAGTTATAGCAATTAAACTATACAAAGATATTGTTTTCCAAATAAATAATCTTGCTACAGAATTTTTTATAATACAAGATTTTGGAAGTCAACACAAAAGGCTCCTCTTCATTTTGTCTCTATATCCTCCACAGTTGTTAATTTCCCAAAAGGCTTCAATGTCAACCCGAGGTAAGTATTTTATAAAATTTGTGTAGACAGAAGTCAAGGGATGTGCTATCATTCCAACTAATTTTGAAATATCTCTAATACCCTTCAAAGCAAGGACATTGCACCTGGTTAGAATCTTTTAAAAAAAGAGATTTTGAAAGATATTCCTAATAAGGTATGCATCAATTATTAAAATGTTTTCTTTAATCTCTTTTCTATAATAGAATTTTGTCTTGGGAAAACAAGTCAGTAACTCCATCTTTATTTTGTGTATTTCTCCTGATTCAGCACCTTTGTGGTTGTTAACACTTCCTCTAGTTTTGCTGTTTTGATAATTGTTTCCTATACAAAGTTGAAAACGCAAGAAGTATAAGAGAAATCACTGCTTGACATCCACAACCCTAGAGAAGTGGGTAACATTGAACTCAAAATTTTTATTTCCTTTTACTCTATATTTATCTTGCAGTATAATTTTAAATTCATATAACTAATAGCAGCTTGTATTTTATCTTATTTCATAACTTTTTTCTAAAAATATATTTATCTCTTTTACAGTATTCAAGGACTATACAGAAAGTTTAGAAATCTTATTAACAATAGTCAAGCCACAGTTTCAAAACATTACTCCAACCTTAGCTCTAGAATAAAAGATATAGTTAAGTGAGAACTATAATGATGGCTTGGGCTTCCATTTGAGGATGTGGGGACTTAGCTCAACAAATACTAAAGAAATAGCTCTACAAGTCCATCTCATTCATCAGTCAAGTTAATGGCATGATATACAGAGTTTTCTGGCAAAACTGACAGTATAATTTTTCCCCTCAATAAAAAGCAGATATAAAATATAGAGTAAAATTTACACTTCTATTTATCCAGACTTCTTTCTTAAATGATTTAAGAAAGTTAGATAATATATAATAGAATTTACAGTACTTGAATTTCAAATACTTTGGGAGAATGTGTCAAGTTATAAATAATAGATTCATAGTGATAGCATGTGCAAAGGATTTCCTTCTTTTTATCTTGTTTCTACATATGAGGTAAACTTTATTAGATTATTTTCCAGTTTAACATAATGACCAAGACTAGAATTCTTCAAAATTCAGAACTGGCTGATAAACACATATTAAGAAACTAAATAAATCATTTTATTTTTAAGAGATAAACATGCATAACACTTGATGACAGGTACTTGATAATAACTAAATTTGTAATTAGAAAATCTTCTGTATATTATCCTATAGGAATTCCTACAAGAATTTTAAGTATTTTTGTTTGTTTGTTTGTAAAATCTTATAGCTTTCTCAAAGATTTGAGAAAGGAAAAAACCACTTTTGATCCCCAAATGTAATGAAAAATAAAAAGTAATATACTTTCTGACATTCAAAGTAGAATTTTGCTGGAAAATCATTCCATGCTCATGGATTAGAAAAATCAATGTCACAAAAATTGTCATACTACCCCAAGTAATCTATAAAGTCAAGACTATTTCTATGAAACTATAAATGTTGTTTCTTACAAAATTAGAAAAAAACTATTCTAAAATTCAGGTGGAGCCAAAAAAAAAAAAGTGTCCCAATAGCAAAAGCACTCTTAGGCAAAAAGAATAAAGCCTGGGGCATTATATTACCCAACTTCATATTATATTAGAAGGCTACAGTAACCAAAACATCATAGTACTTGTTCAAAAACAGACACACACACCAACACAACAAAATAGAAAACCCAGAAATAAAACCACACACCTACAGCCAGCTGATCTTTGACAAATTCAACAAAAATAAGCAATGGGGAAAGGACTCCGTGTTCAATAAATGGTGCTGGGATAACTGGCTAGCCATAGGCCGAAGAATGAAACTATAGCCCTACTTTTCACCATATATAAAAATAACTTAAGATAGATTAAAGATTTAAATGTAAGTCCTCAAACTGAAAAAATCCTAGGAAAAAAAAAAGGAAATGCCTTTCTGGACATGGGCCTTGGCAAAGAACTTAAAACTAAGTCCTCAAGAGCAATTGCAAAAAACCTAAAACTAACAAGTTATAACTAATTAAAAAGTTTCTCCACAGCAAAATAAACTATCAATAGAGTAAACAGACAACCTATGGAATGGGAGAAAATATTGACAAACTATGCATCGGACAAAGGTCTAATATCCAGAATCTATAAGGCACTTAAATAATGCAACAGCAAAAAACAACCCCATTAAAAAATGGGCAAAAGTCATGAAAAGATGCTTCTCAAAAGGTGACATACAAATGGCCAACAAACAGAAAAAATGCTCAACATCACTAATTATCAGAGAAACGCAAATCAAAACCACAATGAGATATCATCTCACACCAGTCAGAATTACTATCATTGAAAAGTCAAAAAACAAGAGATGTTAGTGAGGCTGTGGGGGAAAGGCAACATTTATACACTATTGGTGGGAATGTGAATTAAATCAGTCATTATGGAAAGAAATTTGGAGATTTCTTAAAGAATTTAAAAAAGAACTATAATCCAACCCAGCAATCCCATTACAGGGTATATACCCAAGGAAAATAAATAGTTCTACCAAAAAGACACATGTACTGGTATGTGTATCCAAGCACTATTCACAGCAGCAAAGACATGGAATTAGCCATGGTGCCCATCAAGAAGGGATTGGTTGAAGAAAAGCTAGTATACCTGAAAATGGTACAACTGTCCTGTAGAACTGATGTTTATGGTTCCTTTTAAATAAACATCGAAATTGACCCTACCATTCTTAAAACTTCAGAGAGTTACAACTGCTTATCTGAGTTCCTTTTTCAGGAAACCAACCATCTGGCCTCCCAGAAGGTATCAAGGAACTGAAACTTACCAGATTGCCACATCTGGAAAATGAGATTCCGGACCCCTACCGATCATGATTCCTTCAAAGACCATCAGCTTCCTGTTGACTAATTCAACTTCCTTATTTCTCTCTAATTCCTGTATTCCTACATGTAGCTACATTTCTCCCATGCTATAGAAACCCAATTTTAATCAGTCACAGAGATGGATTTGAGACTGATCTTCCATCTCCTCAGCTGGAGCACCCTGTTAAAGCCCTCTTCCCTAGCAATACTCATTGTCTCAGTGATTGACTTTCTGTGCAGGATCTAGACTGAACGAACCCCTGGCATTTCAGTAATACATATGTACCATGGAGTACTATGCAGCCATAAAAAGACTAAAATCTTGTCCTTGGCAGCAATATGGATGCAGGTGGAGGCTATTATCCTAAACAAATTAATGCAGAAACAGAAAACCAAATTCTGCATGTTCTTACTTATAAGGGGAAGCTAAACATTGGGTACCCACAGATCTAAAATAAAAGTTGAGATTTTAAAAAAATATAGAATTTTAGGTTCTTTAGCAACCCAAAACTTTGAAAAGCAAGGAAAAATAGAGTGACTACTTCGCTAAATCCCTTTACATTGGCCTTCTTTATATATCAAAAGACAAACCGAGGGCCTCTTTTGAATACAATTAGATTGACAGTAAAAAGACAGACAATAATATGTGCTGAAAGAAGCAACCAAAAGAAAGGTGGTGTGGCTGTACTACTATCAAACTAAGAAGACCTTAAAACATAAAAATCTAACCAGAGATAAGAGGAACACTTTATAATGATAAAAGGGTCAATCCATGAGGAAGATACAGCAATTGTAAACATAACTGAATCTAATAACAGAGCACTGAAATACATGAGGCACAATCTAGCAGAAACTCAGAAAAAAAAATATACATTTTAACCATAATAATTGGAGTCTTTAATGCCCCACTTTCAATATCAATTTTAAAAAGGGGCAGCACAATAAATAAATAAAAATTAGAACAGTAATATAAATCAACTTGACCTAGCAGAAATCTATAAACGTTATTCCTGAAAATATTAGAAAATAAATTTTCCCCAAGTGCACATGGACTATTTGTCAAAATAGGCAATCTACTAGACCATAAAACAAGCCTTGATAAATTTAAACAGAAAGCTGGGCAAGGCGGTATGTTCCTATAAACTCAGCTACTTGGGAGGCTCAGGTAGAATTACTTCAGCCCAGGAGTTCAAATCCAGCCTGGGCAACATAGTAAGATCCTACTTCTAAAAATAACATAAAATAAAAATGAAATTCAAAAGGATGAAATTCATATAAAGCATGTTCTCTGATCACATGGAATGAAACTAGAAATCAATAACAATGAAATTTAAGAAATTTTACAAATATGTGAAAATTAACCAAAATAATCAGTGAGTCAAAGAATAAATGAAAAAGGAAAACTAGAAAACACTTGGTGAAAAGTTAAAATGAAGACACAACATACTAAAATGTATGGGATGCTGCTAACGTAGTGCTTAGAGGGACATATATCGACAGGAATGTTCCTATAGTACAAGAAAAAAAGATATGAACATAGCAAGTTAACCTTGCACCTTAAGACACTGGAAAAATAAGAGCATACTAAACCTAGAGAAAGCAGAAAGAAGGAAATTTTAAAGATTGGAAAGAAAATTGATAAAAATAAGTGTAGAGAACCAATAGAGAAAAAAAATCAATGAAACCAAAAGCTGGTTCTTTGAAAGAATCAACAAAACTGCCAGACCTCTAACTAGATTTATTGAGAAAAGAAGAGAGAAGATTTTAATTTCTAGAAGGAGTAATGAAATAGGGGACACTACTGCAAACCTTATTAAGAAATACTGTGATTGTTACATGCCAATAATTAGATAACGTAGATGAGATTGACAAATTCCTAAAAAAGACACAAGCTACAAAAAGAACTAAAGAAGAAAACTGGCTGGGCGCGGTGGCTCAAGCCTGTAATCCCAGCACTTTGGGAGGCCGAGGCGGGTGGATCACGAGGTCAAGAGATCGAGACCATCCTGGTCAACATGGTGAAACCCCATCTCTAATAAAGATATAAAAAATTAGCTGGGCATGGTGGCACGTGCCTGTAATCCCAGCTACTCAGGAGGCTGAGGCAGAAGAATTGCTTGAACCCAGGAGGCAGAGGTTGCAGTGAGCCGAGATCGCGCCATTGCACTCCAGCCTGGGTGACAAGAGCGAAACTCCGTCTCAAAAAAAAAAAAAAAAAAAGAAGAAGAAGAAGAAAACTACAATCAAAATACATTTATAACAAGTAAAAATATAAAATTAGCCCAAAAAACTACCCACAAAGAAAAGACCTAGTCCAGATGGCATCAATGCTAAATTCTACCAAACATTTCAAAAAGAATTACCACCAATTCATCTCAAACATTTTCAAAACATAGATGGATAACTTCCCAGCCCATTGAATGAGACCAGTATTATAGCCATTTATTCTGGTTACTCTGACACCAAAGCCATAAAAATACATAACAAGAAAAGATTACTATAAACCAATGGATCTTTGGAATATGGATAAAAAAATATTCAGCACCCCAAATCCAGAAATGTTAACAACCAATAACCCCTTTTAAAAAGCAAAGTACACACACACACACACACACACACACACACACACACACATATATATATATATATGCAAATTATGACCAAGTGAGATTTATTCCAGGAAAACAAGGTTGGTTTAATATCTAAGATTGAATTACTATAATTTATAGACAGCATAAAGTTAAAATCCACATGTTCATCTCAATAGATACAGAGAAAGCATTTTTTAATAATCCAACACCTTCTCATGGCAAAAACACTCAACAAACTAGGAATAGAAGGAAGTTTCCTCTACTTGATAAAGGATATATACAAGAAGTCCACAGCTTACATTTTATGTGACGAAGAAAGAAGGGATGCTTTCCTACAAAATCAGGAACAAGACAAGTTGTCTTCTCTTACCACTTCAATTCCACATTGCACTTTAGAATAGCTAATTCTACCTAGGGGGGTTAGCCAAGATAAATGAATAAAACATATCTAGATTAGAAAGAAGTAAGTAACACTATCTCCATATGGAAAATTCTAAGAAACAAATAACTGCAGTATAGTAGTCCCTTGGCATCCACAGAGGATTATTTCCAGGACCCATAGAATGGGAGAAAATAATTGCAAATCACATATCCAATAAAAGAATTATATCTGGAATAGGCAAATAACTTAGACAACTCAATAAGAAAAAGGCCAGCTACCCACGTTTTTAAATGGCAAAGGATCTGAGTAAGAATTTCTCTGAAAAGGATGAGCAAATATCTAATAAGGACATTAAAATGCTTGATATCATTAGCCATTAGGAAAACGACAATCAAGCCCCAATAAAATACTACTTCACAGCTGCTAAGATAGGTAGACTCAAAATGTCAGTTAATGAAAAGTGTTGATGGAAACATGAGGAAATTAGAAACTTCATATACTGTTGCAGAAATATAAAACAGCATAGCCACTTTGGTAAACATTCTGACTGTTCCTTAAGCCGTTGATTATAGAGTTACCCTATGACCCAGTTACATTCCTAGGCATGTATCTCAGAGATATGAACACATACATCAAAACAAAACTTGTATCTCAGTTGTTTCATAGCAGCATTATTCATAAAAGTCAAAAGGTGGAAACAACCCAAATGTTCACTAACTAATGAATGTATATACTAAATGTAGTATATCCATACAACGGAAGATTATTCCATTTTAAAAAGAAACGACATACTGGTACATGCTTGAAAAAAATGGATGAAGCTTGAAAACATTATGCTAGGTGAAGGACGCCAGTCACAAAAAAAAACAACCTATTCTATGATTCAGCTTATATAAAATATCCAAAATAGGCAAATGCCGTGAGACAGAAAGTGGATTAGTAATTCCTTATGGCTGGGGAAGAAGGGAGTGTGATAGAGGGTATGGGGCATGATAGCTAATGGTGCAGTATTTCTTTTTCAGTTAATAAAAATGTTCTGAAATAGACTGTAGTCGTGGTTGCATATATCTGTAAATATACTCTGAATATATACGTATCTGTGAAAATGAAAAACCATAGAATTGCACATTTTCAGTCAGTGATTTGTATGGCATAGGAATATCTTATTAAAGCTATTTGAAAAAAGAAAGAAGTGTCAGTAAATGTATTTTCTATTCACCGTTCCTTCTAGTTTTACTCTATTAAACATAAGGAAGTTATCAATGTTACCAATATTATGAACTTCACACCTGGTAATGGGAAATATTTGTCTTCAGTAGAAAGATTACAAAGCTATTACATAGAGGCAAAAAAAGGGTTATGTGGTCTATAGGAAACATAAAATCATCTTCCTTTATAAAAATTGGTTACTCTTTTCCTGGAAATATTTATCTAACTGTAATGAATAGATATGTTATTACAAGTATTTTTTAAAGTTTTTCATAAAGATTTAGTAAATCTGTAAGCAAACCAAAGAAGGACCAGAAAAAAATTTTTTCAGAAAATAATAAATTTGATTTTAATATTTTCTTTTTAAGTTTGACATGGGATAGTGTCTGTATTCCTCTTTTAAAAAGCAAACTTACATCAGTAAAATGGGTTAAGAGCAACAAAATGATAAGACAAAACTATATCCTGGACTGTTAGAAATGTTATACATAATGTTTTTTCAAGTTTCAGAGACCTGAACACAAATCAGACTTATTTCCGAAAAACGTGAGGAAACTTGCAATATAAGAACAAGTCACCTTTCGTTAATATTTCCTATCTGTATGAAAACAAAAAACGAGCAGGAGGGGCTAATGAAAGTACTTTTGGATTAACTTCACTGCATTCTAAATTAATTGTTCTCTGTCATGGATTAAAGATGTAGGCGGGGAATATCCGCTCCATAGAGATCTCTTTAACAGTAGCAAAACTGATTCTAACACATATACAAAAACCACAATACAATATAATACGGATACACAAAACTTAACTTGGTGATTTTTTTTGTAGGGATAAAATGTTCACCAGCGAATTATTTCCGAAGGTCGGGGTAGAGGTGGAATTCGTGTAGTTTGGAATTCAACTCTGTTCTGAGAATTCAACTCCACTTGCTGCCAGAATACCTGGCAGATGCGGCGAAAGTTTCTTACAGTAAATTAAAAGGACCTTAAAGAGTAGGATATCAGCAGGAAACAACCAACCAAAAACAGAACCGAGGGTTGTAAGAGGAGACAACAACCGCAAGTGCGCAAAAGAAAACTGAAGAGTAACAGGCTGGAAATTGACCATTTCAAAGACCACAGAAGGGCAGGGTGGAGGCCGGCGAGGAACAAACATCGCAAGCGGTCTTAAAATGCACCGGACGCTCCCCACAACATCCCAGAAGCCAGGCCCGTTCCCTCCACCACCCGGGCAGCACCCCTGCACGCCCACCCCCTCGCGCCCTACCTCGCTGACTTTCCCCCGGGGCCAGGAGCATCAGCAGCGCGGTGGCCAGCGCGCAGGCTCCGCCAGGCATCGCTGCTTCCCTTGCAGGGTGTGGAGAGCTTCGCAGACCCCGGGCCGCGGGTGCTGGGAGGATGGAGCCACGGCAGCTCCTGGGCCTCCTTTCTCAGATTTTATCCGTCCACACAAAATATATATTGTTGGATGTTCTCAGTCTGTTCCTGCTTGGAACAAGGAAGCTCCGCGTCCCGGTTCTGGGGCGCAGCCAGTCCTTTCATAGGATGGAGCCTTCGCGCCGTTCCTCTGCGACTCCTCCCTTCCCATTTTGGCGGCCCGGGGACCTGAAAGCCACGCCCAACCTGTCCCCATAGCCCAGCGTGTCCTAGCAGAGGCTCTGCCGCCTTGGATGTCACCGCGCAGTCACACAGCCAGGGGTCAAGCTACCGGGAGGTAGCTCTCCACGCTGCGTCTTGTTAACAGAGGCTGTATGAAAACTCGGTAATCCTAGAAACTGCTCAGATGGACCTCCAATAAAAGAAGCCTCACAAGGTTCCGTTGGAAGGGGCAGTTTCCCGTGACTGCATCTGCAGACGGATTCCTAACTGCAGAATTGGTGCTGCTGGTTTGCACCCGAAGGCGAAGGCGCTCAAGATGTTCCTGTCACCTTAGATCTCAGTGATGAACGACGGGAGGAGGGAGTAGACACTAACGTTGCAACAGTAGATGCCCTTTCTTCATCCTCTGTGACATGTTTCCTGAAGCGGAAATAACTGCGTTTAGACACTAGCCAAACCGTGGGGTTTGTCACCCGTATTTGCCAGTGATTCCCAGAGCTCTTAACAATTGTCCAGTGGTGACCCAGGATCCTTTCGGCACACAGTTACACGACTCCCAAGTTTGACCTGGGAGTTATTAGAGGATCAGAGGGCTCTAACATCTTCACCCCCAACCCCCGTTTTTGTTTTGCTTTGTTTCATTCGAGACATTGTCTCACTCTGTCACCCAGACTCTGGAGTGCAGTGGCACAATCACAACTCGCTGCAGCCTTGAACTCCTGGCCTCAAGTGATCTTCCTCTCAGTCTTACAAAATGCTGGAATTACAGGCGTCAGCCACCGTGCCAGGTCTAAGGTCTTCAGAAGTGTGGTTTCCTCCGCAGAGGAAGAGTCCTTTTTTCAACTGATTCTGTATCTTTTTATGTCTGGAAATGAAACCTCACTCTCCTAGTTTTTCCCTGGCTGTCTCATTCCTTGAGTCTCCCATCGATCACCTTGCACTTGGTTTTCACAGAGCCTTCACCTGAGAGGAAAGGGGACACTGGTCAGCAGAGGGTAGTTTGGGGGTCCAAGTGGGCACCAAGATTCAGCCCACAAATTTGGAGGCTCAAGGTTAGCCTAGGCATGGAGGTGGAAACAGGAGGTATCCAAATGCATAAAAACGTTAGTTTTTAAAATTATTTATAACTCTTTATTTTTTATTTGAAAGGTAAATTACCATTTAAAAGTTTAAAACCAATCGTCTCCATAGTAAAAATATTAACCCATCTTGGAAAATAATTTATTTTTGGCATACAATACTTACGTATAGCCCTCTTTCGAATGCAGAAAGGCCAACCAATTTTTTGGATTAAAAACAAAATATTACTTTCTGGTGGAAGGTAGGCAGGTGATTTTTATCTTAAAACCTAAGTGTGGAAGGGCAATATGATGCAGGCACAATGAAAACCCAGAGATTTCTTAGTGTACAGTATGTCTTTTGTTTCTGCTTATAAAATTCTAATAAAACTGAGACAAGAAATTAAACATCATTGTCCTCAATCTATCTGTGAAATCACCAGGAACAAAGTAATTTGATGAGAATGAAATCATAGCGGGTCTTTTGTGAATTTATTTTCTAGCAGTATCTAAACAAATGTAGTAAACTTTTATACTTTCTTGGTGGACAACATTACTTATCTGACTTCCATCAAAATACAATTTCAAGTATTGTGGACCTTATTTTTTCCTTCGGTTTGTGATCGATTAATACCAGTTAATGAGCTTATGAGTTTACAATAGACTTGTACCAAAACCTAACTTTTCTCCATGTGAGTTAAGATCTAAAAAGATAAAAGCAACTTAAGAATTTTTTTTCAAGTCTCAGTGGAAAATATATCTAACCTGTCCTGGATCTGCAAGAATGTATTGATTAAATATTAGTTATATCATGCCTGTAATCCCAGCACTTTGGGAGGCTGAAGCAGGTGGATCACCTGAGTTCAGGAGTTCAAGACCAGCCTGGCCAACATGGTGAAATCTGGTCTCTACTAATAATGCAAAAAAATTAGCCTGGCGTGGTGGCGCTCACTTGTAGTCCCAGCTACTCGGGAGGTTGAGGCAGGAGAATCATTTGAGCTCAGCAGTCGAACATTGCAGTGAGCCAAGATAGGTCCACTGTACTCCAGCCTGGGCAACAGAGCAAGACTCCATCTCAAAAAAAAAAAAAAAAATTAGTTATAGAACTGTGTGTAAAACAAAAAGTAACAAAAATGATGTTTTAATCTGTCTCATGAAGTTAATCAAAAATTGGTACAAGATTCTGCTTTATATTTATATATATTTGAAAATTAAAAGCAATGGATATATGCTACCCCAATTATAGAGACTGACAGTACTTGTAAAAGTGGTAAATATCACTGAGAGAAACAGTAAGAATGTCTGAGGGAAGACAAAATGAAGCCAAGTGCTAATAAATACAATATAGCTTAAATTAAAAGACTAACAGGAGAAAATTTTCAAATGATAATTTTCTAGGAAAAGGAAATAACTCTCAGTTCTTGTCAGGTTCATTTACAAAATGATGGGCTTGAGTGAAAAAAGAAAACCAAATTCAGGGAGCAGGAAAACCCAGTGATTAAGTTCACAAATCCTAGGTTTAAAATACCTGAGCTGTAATTCTAGATCTGCTACCTATTTATCAGAATTGTAACCTAGAAAGCGCACTTAACTCTGCTTAACCTCATTTTTCTGTACAATAGGAATGATAATAATAGAACCCCACAGAGCTGAAGAATCAAAAGTGTGTTTGCATGCCTGTGTGGGAGCGTGAGGGTAGAAGACGGTCTGGAGAAAGAACACTCAAAACAGCGTTTGGTCCAGAGTAGCTATTATGATTGAATGTAACAGTTTACTGTTATTACAACAAGGGTAAAATTCTAAGTAATTATACTTTCTCTTACATCTTATCATACAAAGATGGATCACTTCTCAGCACTACTCTATTAGTGTTTGCATAGTTTGGAGTAACCTTCCTGGAAAACACATATTTGTGTAACATACGAGTTCCTCATCCCATGTTTTACTAAATGAATGAGCCCTTTCCCAGAAATTTAAGATTGGTAGGATTGCTTCTGGGGTTTACTTGAGCTGAACACAAGTACACTCAAGCAGAGGACAAAATATACAGCAGATCCGTGGCTGTTTTAATGTCATTTTGTTATAATATTGATGGAAAAAATTGATTTCCAGCAGAGGCCAATGTCTACGGGGATTGGCATGTTGTTTCCATGTCTATGTAGATCTTCTCTGTGTACCCCCATTTCCTTCCACTTCTCAGAGCTCTGAGTATTAGCTGAACTGGTGTGTCTACGTGGGCCCTGTCTGAGCGATTGTGGTTGGGTACGTGAATGCGCCCTGCAGTGGGATGGCTTCCTGTAGAGAGCTGGTTTACACCTCAGGCTCTGAGCTGCTGGAATAGGATCTGGATACCTGTGACTCTGAACTGAAATAAGGAGGTAAATAATTATCCTGTTTTCATTAATCCTCATTAAATGTATGTATAGTTTATTTCTTTGTTTAATATTAGAAATATTTTGGTCTTTATTTAGAAGCTGGTGACGTTTCTGTGACCAGAAATAAGGTATAGTAATTTAGCTCATGTTAATATCTATTCGCCTATAGTAAAACTGGTTTCATTATATGTTGTTTCACTTTACACTGCAGTTTCCAATAACCTATGGACAACGTTGAGGACTCACTGTATGTGACTAGAAGTGTGGTCACGTGATCAGCTGAGGGAGGAAGAAGATAAAGGTGGATGCCCAAAATGAAGGTGAGGTGAGAAACAACAATAACAGAAACAGAGAAAAGCACCCATACACTTGCACATGTGCACACACAGAGAGGGAGAGACAGACAGACAGTGACAGAAAGAGAGAGACGCTAATTCCTGATGGCTTTCCACTCAGCAGCTCCAGAATCTTTTGAGGACTGCCTACGTTTCCTGTCTTGGAGTTCCATAAAACACCCCAAAACACTGTGCCTATAAATTAAGGTTAAGTGACTTTGAATTTGTTTTGCTGCTATTGTTTACAACCAAAAGAATATTGTCTAAAACTGTTTGAAAATATAAGCTCTATAAATTATTAAATACTTGGTTGTGCTTATGCTTTTGCCAGAAGAAACAGAAAAATGCACTTGAGATTTGTACTGAAGCATTATAGTGGTTTATTTAGGAAGAAATGGACTGGTCATTTGACCATACAGAAACTATCCAATCAAAAAGTTTCAGGGAAAAGTATAGTGTGTTCATTGCAGAATGAAAGAAAATCAGCAGTTAAGCTGATCACCTTATGATAAGCTTAATGTATTTCACAAGAAGATGATTCAGTCCTAGAAAGTCTAGAATACCAGTGGCTTTTCTTTCCAAGTGGCCGGATGACCACGTACACGTGATTAATAATTTCACTGTAGACAGTTAGAGAGATTATAACTAAAAACAGCTACAGAAAAGACAATGCTTCAGTAGTACTGAAGCTTAACAAGTAATATTTTCCAAATATACCCCATCTCTAATTCTCATTCATAGGCTGAGCTTCCTCTCTTGTTGCTTCTTTCCTTTTTCTGCACTTAAAAATTCCTTATTTTTTAAAGTGTTTAAAATGAATGAGAAAAAGCCGAAGAGGAATGAAAAGAGAACCAGCTTTGTTTCTTTAAACATAGTAATAAAGAAAAATAGTTGACAGTTGAAAAGAATATGCCCTAAAATCCACATTATAAAAATGTTTTACCTGTGATATATATTCTTCATATGGATC